CCTCGAGGTCATCTTCTTCGAAGATATCATCGTAATATTCCTCATCCTCCTCGTCCTCGCCCTCCTGCAGCGCAGGATCCTGCCCCGCTATAGTGGGGGTAGTGCCATCTTCATTGATATATCCTTGATTCGGGATGTAGGTATGCGAAGGTGATAAACCATCAGCCAGACCAGGAGCCTGGGCACTTGCATCCGTCGACGCCATGACGAGCTTCGAATTCCGAGAAGAAAGGTGGCAAATCGACTCGATCGTGGGCGTTAAAATCGGCAAAGAAAAAAAAAAAGTCCCTGATATATTCGATTAAGTGTGGACCTTGTGCGCTCACCGCCCGGCAGAACCCCGCGGGTCGCACGCGTGTAGGGAAAAGAAGGCAAAGCGATCGGCCACGCGTGCCGTCGCAAGGAATCAAGCAACTGTCAACTCTGTGCTCCAGCGCCCCGGACTCCTACACCCACTGTAGTCCGCCCTTGCTACTCGCCGTCAGGGCATCGGCTCCTGATTTTCACCGTCCATTGCGTGATGATCTGGTTGTTGTGCCTGCCATAACTTCCCGTGTCGCGCGCGCCTTGTCAACATGTACGTCAAGCAAATCATTATCCAGGGCTTTAAGAGGTAAGTCGCGCGATAACTGGAGTGACTACGGAGGCTCTTCGGGCATCTAGACTAACCGTCCATTATCTCCGCGTAACAGCTACAAGGATCAAACGGTCATTGAGCCATTTTCTCCAAAACATAATGTCATCGTTGGTCGCAATGGCTCTGGCAAGAGTAACTTCTTCGCAGCCATTCGATTCGTTCTCGGCGATGCCTACACTCACATGGGCCGAGAGGAGCGACAGGCTCTCCTCCACGTGCGTACCCTGAAGACTCCGTCCGATTACGATATGCTTATGCTGAACAGGAAGGTTCGGGTTCCGCTGTAATGTCGGCATACGTCGAGATTATCTTTGACAACTCCGATGATCGGTTCCCTACTGGTAAACCCGAAGTCGTGCTCCGTCGTACTATTGGCATGAAGAAAGATGAATATACGCTGGATCGTAAGAACGCCACCAAGAACGATGTCATGAATCTGCTCGAGTCAGCTGGTTTCTCGCGATCGAACCCCTACTATATTGTCCCCCAGGGTCGAGTAACGGCCTTGACCAATATGAAAGACTCAGAGCGACTAAACTTGCTGAAGGAAGTGGCCGGAACACAGGTCTACGAAGCGCGTCGTGCAGAGTCTCTTAAGATCATGCACGAAACAAACAATAAGCGAACCAAGATTGATGAACTCCTGGATTTCATCAACGAGCGTCTCTCAGAGCTGGAGGAGGAGAAGGACGAGCTGAGGAACTTTCAAGAGAAAGACAAAGAGAGGCGGTGTTTAGAGTACACTATTTACTCCCGCGAACAACAAGAGATCGCCAGTTACCTTGACAATCTTGAAGAGCAAAGGCAGACTGGTGTTGAGGACACCGACCTGAACCGTGACCGTTTCATTCAAGGCGAGAAGGAAATGGCCCAGATCGATGCCGAAATCGCCGAGTGCAAGCAACAAATCGAGTTCCTCAAGGTAGACAAGGTGCAGTTAGAAGACGAACGCCGTGAAGCTTCCAAGTCACTTGCGCAGGTTGAGCTGCAGGCTAAATCACTTAGCGATAATCAAGCAACTGCTCAAGCCCAGAAGTCCCGCCATGATGAAGAATTAAAGTCTGTTCAGGCTGCTATACAAGAGCGCGAGACGGAACTCCAGCAACTCATTCCGAGTTTCAATTCCGCAAAAGACCAGGAGGATGCCGTCAAGGCACAGCTAACCGAGGCAGAGACTTCCCGTCAGAGATTGTATGCCAAACAGAGTCGGAATTCCCGCTTTAGGAACAAGTCCGAACGAGATAAGTGGCTGCAGGCCGCGATCAAGGACAACTACACGTCCATATCCACTGTGCAAGGGGTGATGGCACAGACACAGGAGGACATCAAAGAGCTCGAAAACGAGATTGCTCTCCTAGAACCGGAAACAGAACTTTTGCGGAAGCAGATTGATGGTCGAGGGGACACTATTCAGTCTGTGGAGCAACAAGTCCAAGCGGCGAAGGATGAGAGAGATCGCCTTATGGACCAGCGAAAGTGAGTTTTTTCCTTTTTCTTCTTTTCTTCCCCACCTTGGCAGTCCGCTAATAATTCTTCAGGGAATTGTGGAGAGAGGAAGCAAAGTTGGATTCGATTCTCGTGAACGCTACAAATGAAGTAGACCGCGCAAATCGCTCTCTATCTCAGATGATGGATCACAACACTAGCCGTGGCATTGCGGCCGTTCGCAGAATCAAACGCCAATACAACCTTGAAGGGGTTTATGGCACACTTGCAGAACTCTTTGATGTCAACGACCGGTACCGAACAGCCGTCGAGGTTACGGCGGGTCAGAGTCTGTTCCACTATGTGGTCGACTCGGACGAGACTGCCACCAAGGTGCTAGAGATCCTGCAGCAAGAAAAGGCAGGAAGAGTCACGTTCATGCCCCTGAACAGGCTAAGGTCAAGGCCTACCAACATGCCCAGAGCTAGCGACACGATACCAATGATTGAGAAGCTCCAGTACGATCGGGCATACGAGAAAGCATTTGTTCATGTATTCGGTAAAACCATCATCTGTCCGAATTTACAGGTTGCCGCGCAGTATGCCCGAAGCCACGGTGTGAACGCTATCACCCCCGAGGGTGACCGTTCAGATAAGAGGGGTGCCCTTACTGGTGGTTTCCATGATTCGCGCCAATCCCGTCTCGATGCCGTCAAAAATCTGGCCAAGTGGAGAGATGAAGTCGAAAGCAAGAAGAGCCGGGGTAATGAAATTCGAAAGGAACTTGAACATCTGGACCAGCTCATCACAAGAGCTGTGGGCGAGTTGCAAAAGCTAGAGCAGCAAAGGCACCAGGTACAGAATAGCAGTGGCCCACTGCGGCAGGAGCTGCGGGGCAAGCGTGACCTTATTCAAAAGAAAAATGACAACCTTGAGGCTAAGCGAAGGGCTCTGCGCAATATCGAAACCAACTTGGCTGCTGTGACAGATCAGGTGAATGCCTTCGAGGCGGAACTGAAGTCGCCGTTCCAGAAGGCACTGACCAATGAAGAAGAAGCGCGCCTGGAGAGTCTCAGTACTACCGCTCAAGACCTCCGACGGCAGTATCAAGAGCTTTCCAGCCAACGCAGTGAACTAGAGGCTCGGAAGTCTGTCCTGGAAGTTGAGCTCCGAGAGAATCTCAACCCTCGTCTTGATCAGCTGGTAGGCCAGGATATCGATATGGCTGATGATGGCAGTCAGGGTAACCTGAAGGAGACCCAGCGCGAAATGAAGCGTCTCAACAAGGCGCTTGAAAAACTCGGTCAACGTCTCCAACAAGTGGATGAGTCCATTGAACAAGCCAATGCTCGCATGGCTGAGCTTGGGCAAAGAAACGCAGAGACCCGGCGCGAGCTGGACGAGCTGGCCAAGTCCATTGAGAAGCACCAACGACGGATGGAGAAGAGCATGCAGAAGAAGGCTGCCCTAACCAAGCAGGCCGCCGAATGTGCAGCAAACATTCGTGACTTGGGTGTCCTTCCCGATGAAGCTTTCACCAAGTACAAGAGCATGGACTCCAATGCCGTCGTCAAGAAGCTCCATAAAGTTAACGAGGGCCTCAAGAAATACTCTCATGTCAACAAGAAGGCGTTCGAGCAGTACAACAGCTTCACGAAGCAGCGTGAGACCCTCACTAGCCGAAGAGAAGAGCTTGATGCCTCCCAGAAATCAATCGATGACCTCATCAACGTACTCGATCAGAGAAAGGACGAAGCCATTGAACGAACCTTCAAGCAAGTTTCCCGCGAGTTCCATAATGTATTCGAAAAGCTTGTACCTGCCGGTCGTGGTCGTTTGATTATCCAACGCAAGACCGACCGGGCCATGCAGCAGGCAGACGAACTTGATTCCGAGGACGAAGAAGCCCGGAATAGCGTGGAGAACTACGTCGGTGTTGGAATCAGTGTCAGTTTCAATAGTAAACATGATGAGCAACAGCGTATCCAACAGCTGAGTGGTGGACAAAAGAGTAGGTTTTTCCATCACTCGTTTGACAGCGCCACATGTACTAATTCCCGTGATAGGTCTTTGCGCCCTTGCGTTGGTCTTCGCTATCCAAGCTTGTGACCCGGCCCCGTTCTATCTCTTCGATGAAATCGATGCCAACCTCGACGCGCAGTACCGTACCGCGGTTGCTCAAATGCTCCAATCGATCTCGGACTCCACGAATGGTCAGTTCATTTGTACTACTTTCCGGCCCGAGATGCTGCACGTGGCCGAGAAGTGTTACGGTGTCAGCTTCCGGCAAAAGGCTAGTACGATCGACGTTGTGTCGAAAGAGGAGGCATTGAAGTTCGTTGAAGAGCAGAAGTCATAAGAGGAGTAGGTGGAGAGAGTCCTCCATAATGGTTTCACGTGTCTTTACTACTCCGTTATCAGGATCAACAGGGTAGCAGGCGTATTATGACGGGCAATTTTCTATTTATCGCTTTTTCTTCTAATTATATCGCTTCCTTTGTTATATGGAAGGTTTGCTTATCCCCTTTCTCTGTATTTTTATTTGAATCGTCTGGCTCTTGCTTTAGGATTCCCAATAGTCAATTGTTAACGTCCTGATGGCTTGATGTATTTCGCAGCGCCTTCGGTGGATTTTTTTTGGCTCACCAACTCCTTGGGTGTCAAACCCCTAGTAATCATGTACCATATGTAATTTCAGTTGGGTATCCACTAGGCCCCTTTCTTATTCTTGTATCATGTATTTCATTTTTATCGTCGCATTTTTGTAGATTCGGGAAAACCAGGAGGTCAGGTTGGGTGTGCCTCGTATCATTAAGTTAAAATATATATTCCCACCTAACCATGACTATTGGCACGTCCACTCTCCCACCACCACATAAACTACACAGGAGTAAAAGACACAATAGTCTTGATAACTTCAGTACACATGTTGCAACGCATCTATTAATCTCTCGATGTAAAATCCAAATCCACATCTAACATCTAATCTCTACTAGTAGAATCCAGCAGTTGAAGAGAAACCCTAATTCTTCAAAGGTTCCTCTCCCGTCCACTCGCGCAAGATATGCTCCGGAACACCCCTCACAAGAACATGCATATGCTCCAAGCTACGCACACTCTGCAACGCAGTCCAATTCTTAAACCATAGGACATGTTCCTTCGGATCCGCAAACTTCGATTTCCCCTCCTGTGCAAGCCGCCCCACAAACGTGCGCTGCACGAAATCCTCAATCAGCGCCCGGGACTCATCGGTCACGTCGCCATTTTCCGGTTTCACGGGAACAGGAGTCCGCAGCCACACGACAAGGTGGTTGATGTCCGGGGTGACGCCGTAGGGCCAGTCATTGCGGAGAATCTTGTAGTCGGCGGGATCGGCAAAGGGGATCGGGTTCTTGAAGGGGAAGACCGCCCCACTGTCTGTTGTGGCACCGGTGGTAGTAGTGCTGGTGTCAGGGTCCGGGAGGTGCCAGCCTAAACGACGTTGACAGATGTAGTTTGTGATTGTGCCATATTGGGCTTTGATGTCGGCTGTCCAGGCGAGGTAGCGTTTGAGATCGGAGGGTTTCCGCTTGAGAATTCCGAGATCATTCCGGGCTGATTTGGTGGTGAGTAGTAGGACTCTGTATGGGGGGGGGGGGGGGGGGGGGGGGGGGGAATAATAATTAAAGTGCGTGATGGTGTGGGAAACGTTAGGAGTGCGGAGTTATGAGGAGGAAAATGGAGATATGGAGTGAGGGGAAGTTTGATTGATAGAGGGGGATTTTTTTATTTATTTTTTTATTTTTTTATTTTTATTTTTCATTTTTATTTTTCATTTTTCAAGTTTATTTTCATAATTTGTAGAGAAAGATCAAAGATTAGGACATACCGATGATCGCTTTGAGACCTTCCCAGTCATGAAGGACAAATTCCTCGTCAGTCTGAGCGAGGACCTGACGATCGACGTCGGTGAGGTTAAAGGCTGGTGGTGCCTCTTCGCGGGTCATGGTTATAAGAATTTAGTATTTACTGAGATACGAGTCTCTATGGAACTCAAAAAGAAAATTGGAGGACGGATCGGAATTCTGGATCGGGAAGGGTAAGAGGAGTAAAAGTCTCCATTCGAAGGTACCTGAGGCATACAATGGATTACATAGTCATATGGGCATCGGGAATCTTTACCCCAGAAAAGCAAAAGCCGGACTGGAAATGTCGACTCGGATTGGTTCTGGCACGATGGGGTGGACTCGTATGACTGGATGTACTGAGTACTATGTGTGTATATGTTTAGATCAGACCATCAACGGATCTTACACCGGAAGTCCCATTCAGCACGACTTCGTAGTACCGTCTCCTCCGAATCAGAAAAAGCCATTGGGACATGGCGAATGGTCTCCTTGAGGCAATTAAGTGTCTACGACGACTCCGTAGAAGTCTATGAGAGATCCCCGCACACATGACTGTCCGAACCCTCGGTGTCAGCACTGCTTTGTTCTCCCCCGTGATTGCCCTGTGAGAAGTTCAACCGATCAGTCAACAATACCGTAAAATTACCGTACTCATCGAACAAAGAAAACGAAGATCTGCCGATCCATTGTGCCTGCCTCGGGTACCTCGCCGGTAACGGCCCCGTACGGCGACCCATCCTAAATCTTTCCGCTCTTTTTGTTATCTTCCGCGTCTTTTCCCTCTTCTCCCTCTTTACACTCTCCGTCTCCGTCTTCCCTTCTCGACGTTTATATCGCATACTTTCTCCATTTCCTGGGATTGCTGGAGGAATTGTCAACATGAGGTTTGTGTTTATTTCCCCGCGGTTGTCGCGCAATGACTGACATTTGGCTGCCATCCACAGTGCCTTTGCTTCGGAGAACATGACCTCCGCCCTCCTGGTGGTTGGTACCGCCATTTTCGCTGTCTTGGTCGGCGCGAAGTTTCTCGGTGGCAGTGGTAGTATGTCTTTCGTCTAGAGCCTCGGTGATACCTCAATCCGCATCATCTGATTGTGCTGACCGCTTCCGTGACTGAATCAGAAGCCAGAAAGGTCCTGAACCCGACCGAGTTTCAGAACTTCGTCTTGAAGGAGAAGAATGAAATCTCTCACAATGTTGCCATCTATCGCTTTGCCCTGCCTCGCCCCACCGACATCCTGGGTCTGCCCATCGGTCAACACATCTCTCTCGCCGCTACCATTGAAGGCCAGCCCAAGGAGGTTGTGCGCTCTTATACCCCCATCTCCTCCGACAATGAGGCTGGTTACTTCGATCTCCTCGTCAAGGCCTACCCGCAGGGTAACATCTCTAAGTACCTGACCACCCTGAAGATCGGCGACAACATGAAGGTGCGCGGCCCCAAGGGTGCCATGGTCTACACCCCGAACATGTGCCGCCACATTGGTATGATCGCCGGTGGAACCGGTATCACCCCCATGCTGCAGATCATCAAGGCCATCATCCGCAACCGCCCCCGTAACGGTGGTAACGACACCACCCAGGTGGACCTGATCTTTGCCAACGTCAACCCTGACGATATCCTGCTGAAGGAGGAACTGGAGCAGCTGGTCAAGGAGGATGATGGCTTCCGGGTCTACTATGTGCTCAACAACCCCCCTGAAGGCTGGACCGGTGGTGTTGGATTCGTTACTCCTGATATGATCAAGGAGCGCCTCCCTGCTCCCGCCAATGACATCAAGATCATGCTGTGTGGACCTCCTCCCATGATCAGCGCCATGAAGAAGGCGACCGAGTCTCTTGGATACACCAAGGCTCGCCCTGTCAGCAAGCTCGAGGACCAGGTGTTCTGCTTCTAAGCATTCCCGCCGGTTTGTGCTTGATAGCTTATATCCTAGATAAAGCTGCACGTCTTCCCGTTGCGACGTTAGATCGGGTCGATGCGCGGATGCTCATGTTCGAGATATTCCATGCTATGTTGGTGTTGGACCCGGAAAAAATCCCTTCCCCTGTCGGTACGATAGATTTAGATGAAGTGCTCAGTCTAGCAGTTTTCACTACCATTTAAATATGCACGATACCTAGAATTTGAAACGATGATCTGACATATTTTTTTGGCTGTTTCGTTTGCAGAGTTTTAGCGTTGCAATACACCTGTATGGGCTCGATGTAAAAATACAATCTGATTGACTGAGACCATTATAGTAGTGTGATCTCCTATAAAATCTTACCTAATCCCTTTAGAAAGTATATTCATGCACCGTGGACCAGACCTGTGGTTGAAACAATAACTTGAAGTATTAAACAATGACTTATTATGCCTACACAGGGCAGGCAGACCAAGGGATCTGAGCAATCGGAGAAGTGTCTTCAAGGTTCATAAACCTCCATGATGGAATCCACCAAAGCCAGGAACTTCTCCCGATACTCATCAGCCGTCGTGGTGATCGTCATCGGCCCTTGACGGCCAATGACATTGAACGTCTGGACGACTCCTGTCATCGCCTGCGCATGCAACTTATGCTTGGCCCAGAAGAAATCCAACAGCACCGCACGATACTTCCACTTCCCATCTGTGGACGCCAACCCAATACGCCACTTACTCTTTTTCCCAATGATATCGGGGTTAGAGGAAGCCGGAAAGCGAACCAGGAATAGAGAATAGTCCACTGCATTCGCCGACGCAAGAAATGCCGTGTCGGCCTCTATCATCCGCTTCATCTCGTCGTAGTCCGATTGTGTCAGCCGGATCTTATCTGGAAACTCGTCCGCCAGGCGACTTAAGGTTTCTTGGCTGACGAGCGGATCGGGGACTAGATCCCGCTCGGGAAAGAAATAGTCAATTGGTTTCAGGTCGTAGGTCTCCCACTTCTCGGCGGCTGGATCCTTCTCTTTCCCGTATAGCATGTTCTCCATGATGATGTGGTGCGCTGGGGTTGTTTTCAAGAGGGTTCCCAGTGACGTGTACGCTGCGTAGATATAATCCGTGATCCAGACAAGGATGGAGTCCGGGTGAGTGGTTATGTATTCATAGTATGGTTGGAAGAGGTCATGGCGGAAGAAGGAATGTTCGAAGTGTCGGGGGAGGCTCTTGACGAGGAATGCGGAGTTTGAGGTGCTGAAGAATGTCTAAGTATGAGTTAGTACTGGGACCCATTCCTTCTAAGAAGGTCTTGCAAGGGCTGATGGCGCATACGGATCCTGAAAAGCCTAGATCTCCCATCGGCAGGAGAGGAAGCGCCTTGTCTTCTCCACTCAAGAAGCAGGCTCGATATTGCTCCTCTGAGATCTCCCAGATCTCATTCCGCAGCTTTCGGAACACATCTGGCTCGTATCGAAGAAGCTTCAGGTAGAATACCCTGAAGAAGGCAATGATCCGTCCAATCAACGTCTTGCGAAAGGTTTTGGGATCACGAAAGAGCGCAAATTGTATACTCTTGGCGAGGGCTACCTGGCGACGACGACCCATTGTTACGGCGGCAGTGGATATAATAATAAGGAAGCAGGTATGCGCATTGTGGGCACCTGATATATGTAGATTGTCAAGAGATGCATGGTCAAAACATGATCAAGACCAGGTGTTGACGTTCCAGCATGGTGACGTCAAGGGGAGATTGGGACGGCGTATACCCAAATAGGGTTAGGGTGTAGCTGAGTCAGGTGATCACCCGTGAGCTGACAGGGTGTGACTCACTCACCGCCCTGGCGCAAGCAGAACTGCCGCATTGAGTCAACGAAGAGTGGACAAGAAAAAAAAAAAAAAAAAAAAAAAAAAAAAAAAAAAAAAAAAAAAAAAAAAAAAAAAAGAGGGAAAAAAAGTTCCCCTCCAACGCTTGAATTTCCCCTCCGTTTATGGGTCGGTATCTGTTTAGCGGGGCCCGGCGATTTTCCAGCGCCATTTTCCAGACTCTGCAGTCCTGCGGTCCACAAAATAATTGCTCTTCCTTATACAGTCGTCCCCGTCCTCTCTCGCATTTTAATCCCAGGCGCTCGCCCTTCCTTTCTCGACGTTTTAGTACGAACAACCCCGTCGCAGCTATGGCATCTGCTGCAGACCTTACTGTCGCCGTGGAGGGGCTCAAGCTGCAGTCCACCACTGAGACCTCGAAGTTCCCCAACTCCTTCCCTTCCTTGAACCCCATCGATATCTACAGAGAGCATATCGCCGAGAAGCTGGGTGCAGCTACCGATATCGACCCTGAGAAGATCTATACTCGTCTGCAATGGAGTAGCACATTGGACAAGGGTGATCTGTTGCTGCCGGTACGCTATATTCCTTGATACGTTTCTAGACGACGGAGGTGCTAACGGGTGTCGCGTCAATAGGTCCCCGCCTTGGGTATCAAGGGCAAGAAGCCCCAGGAGCTGTGCGAAGAGCTCGCCAAGAAGTTCCCCGAGTCCGACCTCGTTCTCCCTCCTACTTGTGTTGGCATCCACTTGGTGTTCTTCTTCAAGCCGCAACCCTTGACCCAGACTGTTGTGAGCCGTATCTTGAAAGAGAAGGCCGCCTACGGTACAAATGGTAACCAGGGTCTGCGTGATCCCTCGGACCCTTCTAAGGGCCAGAAGAAGATGATTGTCGAGTTCTCCTCGCCCAACATCGCTAAGCCTTTCCATGCCGGTCACTTGCGTAGTACCATCATCGGAGGTTTCCTGGCCAACCTATACACCGTTATGGGATGGGATGTCATCAAGATGAACTATCTTGGTGACTGGGGTAAGCAGTATGGTCTGCTTGCCAACGGTTACAAGCAGTTCGGTAGTGAAGAGGCGTTGAACAAAGACCCGATTAACCACCTGTTTGATGTTTACGTCAAGATCAACAACATCGTCTCCCAGCAGGAGGGACCCATCAAGGAGCTGAAGGAACAGATCAAGGCCAAGAAGGAGAAGAACGAGGATGTCGCCGAACTCGAACAGGAACTGCAGAAGCTCGTGGACGCCAGTGAGGACGAGAGTGCTCGCCGCTACTTCAAGAGCATGGAAGACGGTAATGAAGAGGCATTGGCTCTTTGGCGCCGTTTCCGTGACCTCAGTATCCAGAAGTACCGTCAAACCTACGCCCGTCTGAACATTGACTTTGATGTCTACTCTGGCGAGTCTCAGATTAAGAATGAGAGCATGACTGCTGCCTACGAGACCATGGAGAAGGCCGGCGTCTCTGAGAAGTCTGAGGGCGCCGTCATTGTTGACTTCACTAAGCACGGTGCCAAGAAGCTTGGAAAGGCTATCATTATCCGTAAGGACGGCACTCCTCTCTACCTCACTCGTGATATTGGTGCGATTACGGAGCGTGACGAGGCCTACCATTTTGACAAGATGATTTACGTCGTTGCTGCGCAGCAGGATCTCCATCTGGCCCAGCTATTCAAGATCACGGAACTGATGGGCCACAAGGACCTGGCTAGCCGTTGCCAGCACGTCAACTTCGGTATGGTCCGCGGAATGAGCACTCGTAAGGGTACCGTCAAGTTCTTGGATGATATTCTGAGAGACGTTCGCGACAAGATGCACGAAGTCATGAAGAAGAACGAGGAGAAGTACCAGCAAGTCGAGAACCCCGAGGAGACGGCCGATATCCTGGGTATCACCTCCGTCATGGTGCAGGACATGTCTGGCAAGCGGTATGTTAATTTTGGTACACCGAACTGACTCTCTGAATCTTGACTAATTGAGGCAGTATCAATGGCTATGATTTCAACCTGGACGCTATGACCTCCTTTGAGGGTGACACCGGTCCTTATCTGCAATATGCTCACGCCCGTCTCTGTTCGATTATTCGCAAGTCGGAGCTGAACATTGAGGAGTTGGGCTCCGCGAACCTGGATCTCCTGACTGAAACCCACGCCACGGACCTTGCCCGTATGCTGTCACAGTGGCCCGACGTCCTGCTGAACACCACCCGCACCCTGGAGCCAACCACCATCCTTCAATACCTGTGGAAGATGACTCACAGCCTGAGCTCCAGCTACGAAGTGCTCAAGGTCGTGGGCAGCGAGCCAGAGCTGAAGAAGGCTCGTATGGCTCTGTACGAGTCCGCTCGCCAGGTCCTACACAACGGTATGAGGGTACTGGGTCTCAGCCCCGTTTCACGGTATGTCTCCTGGAGTTGATTAGTAATTGTCGATGGTATGCTAACATCTGCTTTAGTATGTGAGGAACGAAAGAAAAATCATGATAAAGACCGTAGATTACGGTAGATTCATAAATACCAGCATCTGTTTCCTTCTCGTTCTTAGCATTATATTGGAGAGCAATTGAATTTGGGCCAAGAACTTTAATGAATGGGCTTTGTTGAGATCTTGATCGGCCGTACTCTGTAGACCAGTTATTTTTGGGGCATTCGATCTGAAACCCTCCGCAGTTGGCAGCCTCAGGCCGTGATTCGCTCAATGCGGGGAAACCCCGAGCGGTGAGGTGGGCGGCGAGAGATACTGCCCCATTGCCCCTCCATGTAACACCACGTGATGAATAAAGCGGGACGTTTTTGGACAGGAACGCCATGTGATTGGCTGACCGCGTGACTCAGGGCAATGAAAAACCGTCGTTGGGAAAAATTTCTGCTGAATCTTTTGGCCTCCCTCGAGGCCGTCAAAGCGACTGTTTTCTGGGGATCAGATATACACTTTGATAATCACATTTGCCCATCATGGCCGAAACTCCCGAACTTGAGCCTCACAATGCCTTCGATACTATCTTGACCCTGGACTTTGGGTAAGACTCTTATGTCTTGCATCCCTTTTAGCGGGGATGCCCATCCGAAATGTGAAAAAAACGTGCAACTCGGCTAATTCACATGTGTTCGCTCTGATACAGGTCTCAGTACACACATCTGATCACCCGCCGCCTCCGTGAGCTCAATGTCTACTCGGAGATGCTTCCTTGCACCCAGAAGCTGGCCGATCTCAAGTTCAAGCCCGCTGGTGTTATCTTATCCGGAGGACCCTACTCGGTATACGAGGAGGGTGCTCCTCACGTCGACCCGGCCTACTTTGACCTAGGCGTGCCCATCCTCGGTGTCTGCTACGGCTTGCAAGAGATTGCTTACCGCCTGGACAACACCAATGTCATTGCTGGCACTTCGAGGGAGTACGGCCTGGCGCAGCTCAAGGCCAAGAAGGTCGGCGGCCACGTCGACCACCTCTTCGATGGATTGGAAGACGAGTTTAACGTCTGGATGTCCCACGGCGACAAGCTGGGCAAGCTCCCCGAAGGCTTCCACACGATTGCCACTACCCCCAATTCTGAGTACGCTGGTATTGCCCACGAGACCAAGCCCATCTATGGTCTCCAATTGCACCCGGAGGTTACCCACACCCAGAATGGTACTAAGCTCCTGAAGAACTTCGCCGTCAACATCTGTGGCTGCAAACAGAACTGGTCCATGGCTCGTTTCGTCGACCAGGAGATTGCTAGAATCCGCAAGCTGGTTGGCCCCACCGGCCAGGTTCTTGGTGCTGTCAGCGGTGGTGTCGATTCCACTGTTGCTGCTAAGCTGATGAAGGAGGCCATCGGTGACCGTTTCCATGCCGTCCTCGTCGATACCGGTTTCATGCGCCTGAACGAGTGTGAGCAAGTCAAGCAGACTCTTGCTGAGCATCTCGGTATCAACCTGATTGTGGCCGATGCCTCTAAGGTCTTCATGGAAGGTCTGAAGGGAATTAGCGATCCTGAGCAGAAGCGGAAGTTCATTGGTAACAAGTTCATCGATGTCTTCGAGGAGGAAGCCAAGAAGATCGAGGACGCTGCTGCTCACTCCGACACTGCCGGCAAGATCGGATTTTTCTTGCAGGGCACCCTCTACCCTGATGTGATTGAAAGTATCTCCTTCAAGGGTCCCAGTGCCACCATCAAGACTCACCACAACGTCGGTGGTCTCCCCAAGCGCATGACTGAGGGACAGGGTCTGAAGTTGATCGAGCCCCTCCGTGAGCTGTTCAAGGACGAGGTCCGCGACCTCGGAAGACAGCTTGGCATCGCCCACGAGATGGTCATGAGGCACCCCTTCCCTGGACCTGGTATCGCCATCCGTATCTTGGGTGACATCACCCCGGAGCGTGTCGAGATGGCCAGAAAGGCCGACCACATCTTCATCAGCATGATCCGGGAAGCCGGACTGTATGACAAGATCGGCCAGGCTTTTGCCGCCTTGGACCTCAGCCGTGCTGTCGGTGTCATGGGAGACAAGCGTACCTATGAGAACATTGTTCTCCTCCGTGCTGTCCAGACCACCGACTTTATGACAGCTATCGCCTTTCCCTTTGAGCACGAGTTCCTCACCCGTGTGTCGACCCGCATTGTCAACGAGGTGTCCGGCGTGTGCCGTGTCGCCTATGACTACACCAGCAAGCCCCCGGGCACCATTGAGTTGGAGTAATTGGATTTGGAATGAATAGACAAGTTACGTTGTTATGTCTTACTGCATGTTATACGGAGCCTTTTGATAGATTTTAAAAATATACACTATTAGTTCAAGAACGGTTTTACAGATGTTTGAAGACGTGCTTTGATGGATATTTGGAACTCGTATCATGTTATTCGTAGTATTCATTATTCTCGAGCAATTCAAGGAGTAATTACATGGTACAGGGCAAGCACCTGCAAATCCCTCTTGGACGATCATTTTTGAGGGAGGAAGGTAAATATAGAAACGAACATGCATACCATGGACAATCGCAATCGTCCTATCCCTAATCGAACCCCTGCTATGATGCCTTTATCAAGGCATTCGACTGTCTTGCTTCACCCAGGGATGATGTACCATGAGTGCACGTGGACCCTTGACTCTGGCTGAAGTGTTCAAATGGTGCAGATACTGAAAACACATCCTCTTGAGCAAACAATGCCGTTCTCCTATGACCCACCATAAAAATTATAATTACCGACCCGATCAATGACTCTGACTGCATCTAATTCGGTACGAGTCATGCCCACCATTCCAACTGATATCCTCGGTCAGATAGACCGAATTAGGGCACGCCAGGAAGTCTTGGCATCAGATGAGCTCCACGTTTCAACGCAACTACACCGAACTACCACATGGTATGAATAGAAAGACTATCGTTCATTGAATGGACAAATTAGTAATTAATCTTCAGGGGTAAAATTCAGATTCCTTCCGGGGTCCACCGACATGGGACTGCATCGTCTACGATCCGGCCGACTATTTTTAGCCGGTCCGGTGCCTTAATTTTACCCCCAAGATATCAGGCAACTAATGGTCAACTGCCGAGTAGTATTTTCTATATAAAACACTCAATAACCCCCTTTGCTACCTCATTCTATGAATCAAAACTTATATATTAATATAATTCAATACCCCAGATCAAACCCACAACCAACAAACCCAGCGTTCAAACATATACCACCTCCTGACCAACCAAACCCTAACCAACATCACCACATCACCACATAAATCCAACCCACAATGTCTACTACAACAGCAACAGCAGCACAAAGCACCCAAACCTGCAACACACCCACCCAATACGAAATCCCCGTTCAAGATGCCGCCTGCGCAGTCCCCAACAACGCCAAATACACCAAACTCCTCTCAAAATGTTGCCACGACGCCCCCGTCTTCGCCTACGACCACGACTGCGCACTATATTGTCTCGCGATGGGTCAGTCTGTCCAGGATCTGACGGACTGTTTGTACGATGCCAAGGTTGATTGGGGAGATGTTTGGTGTCATGGGAATACAAGTGCTAGTGCTACTGGGACTCCCACTGGGACTGGAATTTCGGTGAAGGAGACTGGATCTGCTACTGCTACTGGGAAGGAGACTGGGAAGGGGAAGGCTACGGGGACAAGTACTGGGGGTGCGGTGGAGAAGACGGGGGAAAGTATGGCGGGGATTGTAACTGGGCGGGAGGTTTCTAGGGTGTCGGTTTTGGTTGTGGGGTGGTTGGTGGTTAGTTCTGTTGTTGGGTTTTTGGGATGAGTGATGATTTTATTTCTTGAGGTTGGATTTGGATGTGGACAGACTGAGTCAACGTTAAGCTTTGCACTTTTGTATATTAGGTGGTGTTGGATTGCTTCTGTATGCATATAATTTATTCTCCTTACCGGTGTTGATTGAGTGGGACTTCGTTGTTTTCTATTCTTCACTTGACGATGTATATTAACATGGGGCAGCACACTCTCTTCTTCAAAATATATATTTATCGTATTAAAACGGACTGAAAAGAAACTGCAGAATCAGTCTGAAGTTGACTGCGCATATACAATCCCTACTGGACGACCGCTAAGCCATCGGCATGACTGTCTTCTATATGTAGCCGAATTCAAGAAGGTCCATAGCAGTCGGCCGTAAGCCAGGGACTGGATTGAGCGCCGCATTTACAGCCTCAATATCCTTCTTAGGTATACTAAGATCCGACAACTTGGTCATCCAGTGGTCCAGCTCAGTCCTTGTTTCATCCTTAGGCGGCAATAGCTCCCGACTAACAGAATCTGAGGTGTAATACTCAACCGAATGAAGTCCAAACTCAAGAGCCATGGCTGCTCGGAAGGCATCTTCCGTGTCAGCCAAAGAGCCTTCGACCTTCAAGGAGTCGAACATGCCTGGGCTGTTAAAGTCAGCGTGAGCCTGGAGTAGGTGAAGATACTGGGTAGATGGGTTAGTGTTGACTTCCGCGAGTACTATGGAGGGACTATGGAGAGAGTAGAGGATATACCACGATGCCCCAAGACCATATATCTGTTGCTGTTGTCCAAGGCTTGTTGAAGTACACTTCTGGGCTCCGATATGTGATAGAGGTAATGGGACCTTGGGACGGCGGTCGAACTAAGGCTCCGTTAGTCCATAGTGCGGGACCCAGATCACGCCGCGAACGGGGATAACGCACCCATTCCTAGATCAGCAATCTTCGTCACGAGAATCTCACCATCGCCGGGCGTGTCGTTATCAAACCCAGTGACAAGGATATTCTCCATTTTCAGGTCTAACATAAGCGTCAGTACATACACACATAGTATCGATAGATAACGTCTAGACCACGAACCAGTATGAACAAGATTTTTACAATGAATAATTCCCAACCCAATAGCAACAGACCTCATAACGGATCGAATCTCTCCCAATGAAAAAGGACGTCTCAATCGTGCGCTCCAAAGAGACTCCTCAAAAGCCTCCAGGACCATACATGGAGGTTCAGGATCTAACGATGATGGGATTACATCGACTATGCGCCGAATATAGTGTGATCTCCGGAAAAGCTCTTGCATTTCCATCTCTTTAGTGAAATAAGGCCATTCGGGACCATCGTCGCTATCCGGCTGTTTGATAATGAACTGATCTGTGGGGTCGTTTTCTCGTGCTGCGCTCCAGACATTGCAGGGTTTGTCTTTGCGTTGGAGTAGTGGTTCTAATAGAGTGTATTTTTGTTTGCTCTTGCCAGTGAGCTCCAACCCTCGTGAGAAGGCTCGGAGGGGAGTTGACATGATATCAAGGATGTCCTACTGGGGTGGAATCGACTAATGGGTGTAGCCCTAGCGATAAATCCATCCCTGGCTTGAGCCAAGAGTTCCGCGGACTAGCTCCTTTAGGTAGGCATGTGATATACCGGGACCCTTCTATAAATATATAGAAAATTACTACTACTTCTTGAGAAATGTGCCAAAATACCTAGAAAGAGTAGATTTTATATATCGTTCGATGTAGGCCTAAGAATGCGTGCGATGTGCATACAACAGGTGCCAATAACTGGAGACAATTTTTTACGCACGTTAAGTAAAACCATTTAAAGAGAAATACTCTGTAATGGGATATCAGGGCCAGTAGCAAGCACAGTAACTAACGTGTGGAGGATGTCACGAGTGGCGGTATCGAAGACCAAGTTAGTAAATTGAAGTATATACAGGATCCTGGATCTTGATTAATAGGAGCTCTGCCGAGAAGTCCTTCGTCGTCTCCTTTACAACTGTTTCGACCGCGATAGGCTGATCAACTAGCTATATTGCCTGGGATATGTTTTTGGCGGAGCGAAGAATCGTCCATGCTCCTACATTTTAACAGATATTTCTCATGGGAGCCTGAGGGAAACATGAATCCACAAACACGTGTGCTGCACCAGCAAGAAGAGCTATACTCTCTATTGGAGGTGGTATTATGTCATTATGTGAGCTTTCCATCTTCCTCTTCTTCGTTTTCTCTCTCTCTCTCTGTGTGTGTGTGTGTGTGTGTGTAAGGGATGAATCTAAGGCTGACTAAAGAACTATCCACATCCCTTCTTCCAGAAGAAATTGACCACTTCCTTGAACAAACTCGCTGTCGTCTGCTTCTTGTGGGACAGGACCAGAGAAAAGCAGCAATCGAAGTCCTTGAATACCGCCAAGCCGCTTCACTCCACCCTATACAGGTAATCTCTCTTGAACGAGGTGATCAGAACTGGCGTGATGTCGATATCGACTGGCATATTGATGATACCCCCAGTTTCCCACCTGATCGGTCAGGATTGATCATGTTTACCTCTGGGACGATAGGCCCGCCCAAGGATGCGGTCTTACCCAGATGCTGCTTATATCCTGGTCCATTATGCACCGCATCGAAACGTCTGGTCAACCTGAGCGATCGCCCAGTACATTGAATTGGTGGATTAATCAACGTGCTGCCACCTCTTCTCGCTGGATACAGTATTGAGCTATTGAGGCCTGACTCGCCAGCGTCTGAGTACTGGGAGCTGATCCGACAGCAGCGAGTAACTAAAGTGCTTTGGGGTCCTGCGGTTTTGTCAAAGTTGAAGCACTACTACGAGGACTATCTCAAAACACTGCCCTCTGCGGAGCTTGAACCTTTCCTTCAAGGCCTCCAGGCTATTCAGGAGATATGGTTGACTGCTGCGATGCCTAGTGTCACCTTATTGGAGTTTTGGACTGAGTTATCATGCACCAATCGTGGTGGCATATGGTGTAACAGAGGTTGGAGGAGTGATTAGTATGTTGCCGCGTGCTACTAACAACGTATGTCAGGAAGGATCTGATTCCTCCACCTCCCATTTATTTCTTACAGGACCGCTGACTGTGTAATAGTCATCGATAGACAGGCCGCTTCCCGATGTGCAAATGAAGCTTTCCGAAGGTACCGTGGGGAAAATCTTGATAAAGGGCCCCAGAAGGATGAAAGAGTCAGTTAACCTTCTCATTTCTCCCCATCCTTCACTTCTCATGTGGGTGCTAATAGCCTTGCTGTCTGCCATAGGTATCTGAGCAATAAAGCAGCGACTCAGGCCGCGTTCGACAAAGACGGGTGTTATCGGACAGGAGATGTCGCACATATGGAAGGCGACGAATTCATTTTCGATGGGCGAGCTTCTTCTGATTGTACGTGTGACCGTTTTCTTTTCCCTTAAGACTTTGGCAAAAGTCTTAGAAAGTGAAGTTAATCTGTAAATAGTCATCCAGGTCTACTCTTATCATGTATCAGCTTACAAGTCGCAGCCGCGTTAACGGCACTTCCATACGTGGCTGAGGATGTAGTCGTCGCAGTACCGGATTCATCCTGCGCTAATCAGATTGCTGTTATCATCAGACCACGAGTAGTGGCCATGGCAGATATTTCTTTGAATGGTGTGAGATGTGACCTTGCCCAGAGCTTGCCCGTATATAGTCTTCCTACTAAGCTTCGGGTGCTTGGCGAAGACGAAGCTCTGCCTCCGACTGTATCAGAGAAGATAAATAAGAAAGAGATCATGAGGAGGTATTTTGAGGGCAACGCTGCGAGGATGGAAGCTTGCGCACCTCCTCAGATAAAAAAAGTAAACCACAAAAGCTTGGGACTGGGCTGGTTTACAGTAAACATACTAGAATGACATTTACATTTAATTATACTCATGGCATTTACTGCCAACTTTGATATTCTATAGAAACTGAAGTCATTAGTGAGTTCCCAGGAAACTGGTCGTGGACTATTCAATTTGATATTGCTTTTACACTCTACATGATTCACAGAAGTGAAGGTATGATATGAAAATTCGCATAATCCAGTATTCTGGCTTGGGGTTAGTATGATGTACGATGGACCCGCGGACCGCGGACCGCGGTTTTGCATATGCTCGTTCCCTTGGTGGGACCCCTGACTGAGTGTAGTGCTCATAGACCTTGGGAATATTGTTTCCCATGTGGATTTCTAGTTATGGCACTTGCTTAAACTATGCTTTGCTCGCATTTCGAGTTAGATACAGATACTATATACAGTCTTGATGCGCTATTCTGGTACATAGTATGAGGGCGATGTATTATGCAACATGGAATAGGATAAGGTCTGAGAGAGCCTTGGCTGCTTTTGACGATGGGAACTTCCCTACTGTGTAGTATTTGGACAGCAGGATTTGGAAGTTTTATTTAAATCAGCCAGCTATTTAGCTATTTCATAAAAGATGAAGCTGAATGAACGGAGAGCGATAGTTTACATTTTCACAGAACATGCAGTATGAACGAGGAACAGCATCTAGAATCTTTTACCAACCAGGATAATGAGTGATGGGATTGAATTGAATAAAGACATAGCCATTACAGATATAGACCAGCATATCCTATATGTCATACAAAGAACAATCTGCAGAAAGACCATAAACAGGTGAACCGTATCCAGGCGCAGGTTCACTCATGCTGACTAGATTCGAGATCGATTCCTAGCGCGCCAATAAGCCAGAGTTCACTAACGTAGTGAAGAGCCCTGTCCGTGCCGCCACTGAGCCGGCAACGACAAAGGCAAGTACATACAGCCAGCTCCATGTCCGGCGCACTTTGTTCCCCTGGCGATCGAAAGGTGCCTTGGCAGGCCGGTAGAGCTTGCGGAGTTTGTCGGACGTGTATGGGGGATAGCGTGCGCCCATAAGCTTCTCCATCCACGTGGGAGGATCAATGTGCGTGCGCAGGTGTGTGAATTCGAGGAAGCCATATGGCCCATGGTACTTGCCCATGCCGGAGTTGCCAACGCCGCCGAACGGGGCACCCTTTGCAGCTACGTGAAGCATGCAGTCGTTGAACGTCACGCCACCGGACAACGTCTCGGCCAGGATTCGGTCCTTGTCCTTCTGCAACTGGCTGAACCCGTAAATGGCCAGCGGATGATCCATGCTGTTGATCACAGATATCGCGGCGTCGAGGTCTGCGTCGATGATAGGCAATATGGGCCCAAAGAGCTCCTCCGAGAGGAGACTGTCTCCGATTTCGATGTCGGTCACGATCGTGGGGCTGAATGAGAGATCATCCCTGTTTCGTTGTCCGCTGTACACAACGTTTCCGGATGTATTCTGCAACAGCCGCTCGAGACGATCGAAATTGCGTTCGTTGATGATGTGTGTGTAATATTTTGGTAACAGCTCTGGGGCCCCACCGAGAAATATGTCGAAGTAATGCATGAGATGATCGACAAATTCGCGACGCACAGATGGATGGACAAAGACATGGTTGACGTTCAGGCAGATCTAGTTGAAATCGACGCACTTAGCTCCCTTTGTAATAGACACAGAGCCAAACGGAGACATGAGCAAAAAAAGGGGATGGTGAGGGCCTTACCTGACCGGCGTTCATGAATTTGGTTGCTGCAATTCGCTTGGCGGCGAGTTTGATATCCGCCGAAGGACAGACGATGGCCGGGCCTTGTCCTCCCAGCTCCAGCGTGACGGGTGTTAAGTGCTTGGCTGCTGCAGCAGTAATAAATTTGGCCACGGCTGCAGATCCCGTATAGAAGATATGGTCGAAACGGTGCTCCAGAATGTAGCCCATCTCCTTAGCTCCTGCCGAGATACATCGGATGGCATCGGTGTCCAGATATTTCGGGATAATCTCCATCAACAAATCCTGGCATGCAGTAGCAACATCCGATGGCTTCACGATGACAGCACATCCCGCCGCGATGGCATCGAACATGGGGCCCAAGAGGAGAGTGAAGGGGAAGTTCCATGCCCCAATGATCAAAGCTACCCCCTTGGGTTCCTTGCGAACCGTTGCACCACCCAGGAAGTTGAGCGGGTTGGTCCGCTCCGGTTTCTCGTCTCGTGTCCACTCATCGAGATGCTCCAGGTTGTACAGGATATCAGCATGACAGCCCGCTATCTCAAATGGCATTGTCTCTTGCAAATGCTTGTTGAGATCCTTGTGAAGGGCCTCCTGCATGCGCTCTTTGTTGTCCTCGATCATCCACCATGCCTGCTGCAATTGCCGTTTACGCCAATTTTTATCCTTGGTCTTCCCGCGCGCAAATGATGCCCGGACGCTTGCAAGTGCCTTCACCAGTTAGTAGGGGCTGAATAGGCGGAACCCAGGAGAGAAGGGTGCACCTACGCTATCGAAGTCGGCAGCTGATGAGAAGGACATGTTGTTGGCTGTTTTGGTCAAGCTGAATTCCTCTAGCCTTTCTTCAAGCAACTTGTATGCGAATAAAAGAAGCGCTCGGACCGCAATCCAAGGCCGAGATGTGGGGTAGGTTGGTTAATACCGAGGAAGCTTTCCGAGGCAGCTCCAAGTGTACCAGTAATCGAGGCCGGGTCAATCGTGCGGGGGATCATTTAAAGATATAACTATTGGTTAGTTAGACCTTCGGTAATATTATATAATCCTCCCGCCGGTTCAAAGACAATAGATACTAAGGATATATAATCCTGCCTTACAATCTCTTCCATATACTTCCCAATGCTGTTAATATACATATCGTGTTTTTACTCCGACTTTGCTTAATTTTAAGGAATTCATTCATCGCGACCTACATTTTCGCGCGAACAAGTGTGCATAAATAAGGCGCTTTGGCATGTCTCGCTCAAGGTGCAGGAGCTCTATCCGTTCTTTTGCAACAACGGTCTGCGTGCAGACCTAAAATACACCCAGTAGAAAGATTAACGAAACAAAAAGCTTTGATGTCCAGTGACAATGGGAATATGGTTGACTGACCTAGGAGCTACGTCCGTGCCTTGGACAAAAGGCTGCTATGAGAGCTGTGGCTCACGGCATATGTGTTGTTCTATCTTAGATCATATTCTTCTGAGTCGATGGTCTCTCACGGCTTTCCCTTTATACCTTCACTGCAATTAATACTTTGGCAAATGCTTAGTCAAGTGCCAAGCTTATACCACTATCTAACCCTATTATACAAAGTCCATCTAAGGTCCTACGTGGTATAGCCTTAGTCATCAAGCCTTCTAGATAGGCCTATAGTGGTGCCTGATCTGTGGGCATGAGATTCTACTATCCGTTTAGCCATATGAAATTAAAGAAGCGGTGTCGGCGCTTTGCTGGAGCCAGACTCTTTCCTAACATGGGTTGCTAACCGAGGCAGCCCACATTTAGCTCCGAGAGCATGCAGGGATTGAGAGACATACATAGCAGTTTCATGGCATGAGCAGAAGCTAGCATACTTTGACTTTCGGAGTGAAAGGGAAGGATTTGGTAACATGCAGGTTGCTGTACGTAATATGATTGCCAAATCATTTGAGCTCGTAACCCGAAAGCAGACAACCTGACTAGAGTAACTCAACAATTCAGACAACTTCGGTGACGGAGATATCGGTTTGTAAGGATAGAGACACTACTCGGGTGGTTGCATGATGCTGTTATTCTCTTCGTCACGTAGTGTTCAAGATATCATCAGGGACGAAAGGTTGGACTGGTTGTTGGACTGATGGCCTGATCTTCTTCGGCCTTGTAGCCTAAATCCAAAGTGGAAAAAGATAGATAAGATTATCAATCTAATCTCTGTGCACTAGTGGACGCCCATTACTTAATTGGTTGGTCTTATAGTGGCCCGATGTAACCCAAAACCAATTTGAGTTACATTCGACCAGTAAAGATAAAATGCTTGATCATATCAGGTATACTAAGTGTTCACTAGTGAACGCAGTAGCCTATGAGACTCTACATAGCCTGCTCGCTAGACCATTCAATTCCCTGATCTCTACATATCTTATAATCCTTACGTAAATAAAGGACTCTACCCAGTATCCATCAAAGTAGTATTTAAAGCCACTTCTGGCCGGCTGAGTGCTATCCGGGAACTTGATTTCAATCGCCAAAAATCCATCCATCGCACGAGGATGCTTGAAAAGGTTACACCTTCAACCAATGAGGTCCCCACTGCGACAGGGCCTCAGGACCCGGAACCAGAACAGCAAAATGGTGTGCGTATCGCAGAAGCCGTGACCAAGTCATGGTCCAAAAGCACTTTGATCCAAGTGTATATATGGTGAGTACACACGTTTGGTATGGACTGCTATGAGACAAGTGTGCTGACGTCTTGTAGCATGTGGCTCATGTATTTTGTACGAGCGCTAAATGGAAGCCTGACAAGCAATCTAGCGCCATACATCACTAGCGATTTTAGTAATCATTCGCTACTCCCTGTGATACAAATCGTGGTTAGCATTATGAGCGCAGCATGCACTATGCCAATTGCCAAGCTTCTCAATCTATGGGACCGCACCATTGCGTTGAGTCTCATGCTCCTCGTTTCTATTATTGGCCTCATCGTCATGGCATGTTGCCACAATATTACCATCTATTGCGTTGCACAGGTAAATGCCCTGTATGCCGCTTGACCCTATGGTACTAATTGCAGCTAAAGGCGTTTATCACTGTAGGCCTTACTGGCCTCATATTCTCCCTAGATGTGTTGACTGCGGATACCTCCACGGCCCAGGATCGAGCCCTCGCCTTTGCCTTCACCTCATCGCCATACATTATCATGGCTTTCGCCGGAGCACCGCTCTCGGCATCCTTCAACGGACTCAACTGGCGCTGGGCCTACGGTACTATTGCCATTCTCCTACCCGTGGTCACCGTGCCACTGATCATCATCTGGGAGCTCGCCAAAAGAAAAGCCCAACAGACGGAAACACTGACGCCCGTCCACGAAGAACGTTCCTTAGCTCAGAGTATCCGCCACTACATCATTGAATTTGACATCCTCGGCATCCTCCTCCTCATCGCCGGCTTCTCCCTCTTCCTACTGGCATTCGCACTCGCAGGCTCCCAGCCCCAGAAATGGCATTCCACGCATATTATCTGCATGATCGTCATCGGCGGAGTCACGATCATAGTCTTCGCCGCTTACGAGCGCTTCTACGCCTCAAAACCCTTAGTCCCTTACCACCTCCTCGTGTCACGCACCGTGACATTCACCTGTCTCCTGAACCTGACCTACGTCATCGCCGCCGACTGCTGGGCCAGCTACTTCACCTCCTTCCTGCAAGTCGTATACCACGTCTCCCTCACAGAAGCAGGCTACGTAGTGGCAATCTCCAACCTAATCTCCCCACTGTGGCTCATCGGCGTCGGCTTCCTCGTCCGCTGGACCGGCCGCTTCAAGTGGCTCCTCCTCTGCGCAATCCCAGTCTACCTACTCGCCATCGGCCTCATGATCTACTTCCGATCCCCGGGCCATAGCATCGGATACATATGTCTCTGCGAGGTCCTCATCGGCCTCGGGACAGGGACAATCATCGCCCTCGAGCAAACAGCCGTCACTACCGCATCCGAACATAACGACTATGCATCGATGCTAGCTCTCCTGGGCTGGGTGGGTAGTATCGGCGGTGCGATTGGAAACAGTATCTCCGGAGCCATTTGGACAAACACCTTACCCCAGAAGCTGAGGGAGTTCTTACCGGAGGATATGAAATCGCAGTGGAAGGAGATTAATGATTCGTTGTATGTGCAGTTGAGCTATGAGGTCGGCTCGCCAACTCGTGTGGCTATTGAGAGGGCGTATGCGGTCAGTCAACGGAATATGTTGATTGCGGGCATCGCTTTTATGGCCTTGACTATTGTGTGGGTTATGGGGATTAAGGATGTTAGGGTTAAGGGGAGGGATAATAAGGGGAGAGTGCTTTTTTAGGAGGGGAGGGTGGGATGTCTGCTGTTTGGGTTGAAGTTTCTTGTATGCCGGTTCAGCGGGATAAGTAGTCGTAAGAACAATTGAGCTAGGCTAGTTTACCCAGTATATCAGAACGAAAGAAAAAAAAAAAAAAGAACAAAGAGAGAGAAAATAGGAGGGACACTAAATCAATATCACGAACGTTAATGAGCTGGCTAAGGAAGCTAAACGCTGTATTATCATTATAGTATTGGATGTTATACAGGTGTCTTCGAGATTTTATAGTTGTATAACTATATAAGTTGTAGAATAGAAGTTAATTTCTAAGGAGAGTATAATACAATATAATAACTATTATTAGATAATTTTATTAACAGCTAGCTATATCTGGTAGACTTGGGTAACTTGGCTTCTTTTTCTATTAGTTTACTTTGGATAAAGTGTTCGTAGAATATCTTATTTCTGCTAAAACTTGGGTCAGTTGTTAATCTTTGAAGACTCTCAAAAGCTACCTTAGAAAAATAGACACTAAAGATGACATGTGTAAAAAAGTAACCCACTGAATACTGCTTGAAATGTACAGATTCCGGCCATCAGGTCGCTTCACGGAGAACTGAGTAAGGCCATCGAAGAACTCAAGCGCTAGAAAGATTTCCTTAACAGAAGATATCTTGGAGAACTGAAGGAGACACAGGCCAAACATGTGGATTTGGACATGTGGGAACGAATTGCGAAGAATGCCATGATTAACGGTGATTCACAATGAGTGCACACCTTTTTGACTCATTCCCCAGGGATTTGGGCATTTGTGGGCTTATAATTGGTTTATCTCCTGAGGCGCACGTCTGGTCCTGGAGCTGGTTGGTCCTGGACCTTATTATTTAACCCCAAGTCAAGTAACCGACAAGGAGTTCAGTAGCTCAAGATGCCAAATTTTCTTAGCACCAAGGCAAGGTGGGATCACGAAATCTCATGATGATATTCCAGACAAAGTTCGCCAACACCTGTACATATACTAGAATTACTAGACACAGAAAGTTCAAAAAATAATTCCCGCCTCTCTCAACCTCTCAAATGCTTCCAACCAGCCTTCAACCGGATCCCGCTGCTCAGTAAATCCCACCGATCTCAACCTCTTGGGACTGAATTGTCGGTCAAAAGAAAGCCACCACCCAACAGAATCCAATTGCTTGCTCCCGTTGCCAACACCGCAGGTTAGTCCTTTTGGAACCCCATTCTGAGCAAACAGATGGCGGTATCTGCCAATATATTCACTTGGTTTAAGAGCGTTGTCTTCCCTTGGTCCCACCCCTTTTAGCCCGAACCAGGCCGCGATGCCCGGCCAGAGGTCGCTAGCACTGACGGGGATATCGTTGTCTACCATATTGATAATCTTTCCACCGCATGATTCCGGATGTAGCGCTGCATGGATTGCAATGCGACCGAGGATTTCGCCCGACACAGGCGTATACAGCGACCGATAACCAGCTTCGCTTCCGGGGAACGGAACCTCTATCTGTTTGTCGGTGGAGCCTCTGTGATTAAATGAATATAACGAAAGGTATTGTGCCCAGTGAAGGGCAAGAGAGTACGCAGAGCCGTTAGGAGAAAACCCAACCACAGCATCCGGACAGACCTCACTCCAGGTCCAATTGCGATCTTTGCTGGCTTCGGTTAAGATCTTTCGGAACCACGGATATGCGACGGTTTTGGCGTAGTCTTCTGGTAAGGTATCGGCCATGGATTCTTCGAGTGGTGGCTGGAAGACACCACCAGGGTTGTAAATACCGTAGCCCTGCTGATGTTAATGACTACTCTCATCATGTAGCCAAATGCTTACTCTTGACCCGCCGGAATACACAAACGATCGGAGCCTTGGGGCGACGATGTTCACCGCGTCAGCCAGTCGCTGCATGATACCGCAATTCTGGTTACACTCTTGAATATGGTCATCGTCGAACGGCGCGAAGACTGATCTACATTAGTATCTCTTCGTGTAGACCCTGCCTCCGATCAATACCTACCGAAATAAAAGACATGGGTTATCCCTTCCACGAAAGGGACTTTTTCTTTCACTTGCTTCACAAGATCATCTCCGGTTGCCTGTAGCAAATTGATCCCCGAAACCAGCTCAAAAGAAGGTCGGTTCGGCCCTGAAGGCAAACAGAGATCAGGCTCCGAGACGGGCCGATTAAGGACCGCGGTGACGCGAGAGAAGGGCCTTGATGAGGGATAACCAGAGAGCAGCTGGTTCAAGGTCGCCCATCCGAGCAGTCCAGCTGCCCCAAAGACGATGGCATGGGATTCTGTCGCCATTGGTGGTGGTCTTCCAGTGTCAGAGGGAATTGCAAATATTGTTGAACTTCCCCGCTTTTACTGGGACATTTAAGGTCTCAGTGATTCCAGGCGGCGTCCATTTTAGTATTAGTTTAGGGTATGCAGTCGGAATGACTCATAATGAGTGCTCACCCACCAAATAACTTACTGAATTACATGCTATTGTGGACAAGACTGCCCGTATATAGGTGACCTTAGGGCATTCGGGATTCGTTGATCCCGAATTCTATGACCTTTTAGTCTTGTGGAATATAGGACCCTAGCTATATCTCTTACAGAGAGATAAAAATTAATATATTTGAATAGTATTAATAAATATTCTTTGAATTTTATTATTTTAAATTTTTATAATCTATTATAAGTTAGTAAAATAGATTTAAGACCTATTCTAGGCCCTAGATCTGGGCCTAAAGCCCAATTTATTGTGGCCTTAGACTGGGGTTGGGCCGGCCTAGGTATAGTCACCTGGTACGGCGGACTAGATCGAAGTTCCGGACAATAGATAGGTATTTCTGACCGAAACCTTGGTGTGTTACATAAAACCATGCACTTATTTAGTATCACTCTTACTCTATAAAATTTACTTTATATTATGTATTAATACTAAATTTACTAATAAAATAGAAATTTTGTATTTAATTAGGATTGTTTAGGATTAGAAGTAGTGGTAGTGGTAGTAGTCGTAGTTTGACATCGCGTCATTACATTTATCGGCATCTTTACAGGAAGAAAAACTCCAGGAAAGTTATATTCGGTAATTTGTACAGTTTAGGATAATCTGCAGTGCCGTCATATGAGCAAGACAATAGCCCAGAAAGTCAGTGATATGCATTCTTTCCGTTGCTAGTATCCTGATCAGGTCGCACTAGAACAACTTCCAGCTGAGACAAAAGGTCAAGGACTTGTGGATCTGGTTTCAGATTGTTATTGACCGAAGGTAATCCTGCTGCGCTTATCGAGCCTTGGAGCAGCATCCAGGAACGTGTAACACGGGGTGTCGATAATACACTAGAATGTATATCTTGATGATCCACATTAGGTTACTCACGCATACTTCACAAAGGCCGGTGACTGAGTCGCATTAGATGAGGAACTAGATTTTGCAGCTCTACGGCAGATATCGGCGATGATATGTGGGGAGTGAAACCCTACCATGAGCCGTGCTAAAGTGTCACTTTCTGCCCAAAAGTCGTTGCTACAAGGACGGAAACTAGTACTAGCTGCCTGGACACGATCACTGAACTCGTGGATGGTACTGTGAGTCCGGACATCGCCTCTGGATGATCGTATGCGCATGGCATCTAACGAAACCGTAGCAAGCTGGCACAACGTCTTGAATTATTGGCTTTTGTGATATTCGACTATGAACGATGATGTATGAAACATGATGGTGGTCGATCGTATGCAAGCGACATATAGTTATCTTGTTGAACTAGTGACTACCTATGACCATAAGTATAAAGGGCACCAGTTAGTAAATGTAAGACTACGAAGATAGAATAGATGCTGCAAAGGGTTTAATTCACCAAACAATCCTTTTCATCATGCTGTCTTGTGATGAAAAATCGCCAGGTTGCAGGAAAGGACGTCACAGATGATCAAGAGCGTCTTGATGGCCTCTAGAGTTGGATGTGTCATATAATTCTGGATAGGTAGGCATTTGTGCGAGCAGCATACTAATAATGCTTAGCACTAGAGCGATCATGGAATTTGAGCAATTAGCACCGTAGACCTTAGATGTCATCATTCTCTGATGACTGGGATAATCAGAGAATTGGCAACCGGAAGCTAGAACAGCGAACAGTATCCCTAGGAAAAGGATGTCCAAGTTAGAAAATACTAAACAATCGTCGATACCGACTGTTCGACCCTGTATATCGTGGAACCTTACACGTTTTTGTAACATTTGTGCCATTTTCACTACAAACAACTGGAGGCCTGGAAGTACCGGACACAAAGTGGATCCAATATCACGGTAAAGATAGAAGTACTGGCAGCATCTTTAATCATCTGACAATACTGACCAGATACAGTGAATAGTAGTGGCGAGTGATTCTGACGACCAGCGGTCGACGAACGGATAGGTCGCGTCCAAATCGTCAAGCACAAGTCCGAACAGCGTTCAATCTTGTAGTAACCAGTCCACTAGCTGCGAAGACTTGGACTTCTGAAGTTGTTAGCGCCCTCCTCGCCTCCTGTTCTACATTTTTCGCCCGGAGTTGTACGCCCCTCAAACATACTGAATTTTCAATATCACTGATGATACATTGCCTTAAGAAAATATAGTGAGGGAAAACGAAAGCGTGAGAGTATATATTTTAGAAGCATACATGTTTACGATGCTTAATATCATCCACCCTGTTTGATGGTCTTATTGTGGTGACGTAACGAGCGATAACAATATAGTTGGTTGGCAGACTCATCCGAGCCACTAATGAATCCATGAATAAGGCCCTCCGCAGTCCATTGGGCAGACTTACAATGGCATAATTCATCCTTACGGTATGACATTGAAAAAACGTCCCCGAAACGTAGATTTAGCAAATTAAATCTTGAGAATCAAATTGATTTGGACGCCAGCTCCTCAGCCAGATCAGGTGAAACTTTATTAAGTTGTAAAAAGAAACAAAATTAGTTTCAATAATAATAGATTTACGAAGAGTCAGCGATAATGTAGCCTCTGCATTCACAAAAAGATATAGGGAAATCTAACACCTATAGGGAAAACTTATACCAAGGCTAAATGATGGAATATGTTGCAGGTTCAAAGGGCATAGATAATGAAACAAGATGTTTCAAGTCACACTCCTTTCTCCAGTAACCATTAACGACCAAGAATTAAGCTTCTGCAAATAGTTTGCGTTTACTAGTGAATTATAAGCTTCAGCCATCAGTATCGTTCTTGAAGGTCACTTACAGGGTATGCATCGCCACTGATTAGTCCATACTGTATGGTTATTATTCTTTAACAGGGTATTTATCACTTACACTCTATCCATGCCCACTGATTAGCCTATGCTGCATAGTTAATATACTTTAAAAAGACTGTTATCACTTACAGTTTATCTACTGCCACTGATTAGTCTATACTGCATAGTTATTATTCTTTAATAAGACCACTACTCACTGGCTATTCATTGCCACTGACTAGCCTATGCTATATTGTAAATATACTTTAACAAAGAGATTTATTACTTATAAACTATTATTACCTGTCAAATAAATATCTACTATTCAGGGTAGAATACCTGTAAACTAGGTAAGGGTACGTAGGCAGAAATCTAAGCAGTAGATACTATGAAGACAGAAGACTGATTCTTGCCTTCTTCTCCTATTACATTAGGCTAACTTTATAGACAGGAGAAACCCCTTATTCTCCTAACAGAATAAGACTGACAGGGGAACTACTGTACACTATTGAAAAGGCAACAGATATACACTCCGACTGCCTTGTGCGATCATCTATTACATATTAGATATAAGTTTTGTCTTCAAAAGGTAGATCACAACAAATTATGTGTCAGATTTGCCGGTTGGACTTATTTTGATACCAAGAAAGGATAGTTGGGGGTATAACTTGAACTTATTGACTCGTTGAGTTGTTGGTTTTGCTGTTTGATTTTTTTTTCAAGCTGAAGTCACAGAGACAAAAAAGGCTTGTTTAGATAGAGATCATGTCTTGTATCAAAGACAGAAGTGAAGGGGGTTACGCGCAGTCTTGACCTATGTAGAAAGTTAATAGCAAATTGCAGGATTAACATAGGAAACTTTACACTAGAGAATGCGACATTTTTGTAGTTCCTAGCAGGGGCGGTACTGACCTACTTGCAGTGGTCTATCTTCAACTGCACCAAGGTCCGATAGTCTGAGATCAAACACTCTGCAGCTCTGTTTTAAAATGGTGGTTACTACGAGAAGTTTCCGATGAATGTCTTTTAGATACTTTTTTTCTTTTTTTTTTTTTTTTTCCGTCAAAAAGTGGCCAGCTGCCATACGAGAGGTGCGGGAAGATCGTGATAATCTATATGGTGGCTTTATGCCATTTCCTTTTACGAATCTTGCTAGCTATATACAAAATATAATAGAACCACCCTTGACACAGTGGCTTCAATTGTTCCACTCACGGTCTGTAAGCGAACCGTTCCATCAGAAGGCACTGCCAATTCCACTTAGGAAGATATAATCGTCAGGCATTACGTATTATAATTATGTTGATCCACTTAGCGCCAGATTACCGAAGCCACGGGAAGTTCACTATGATTGGGGCGCTTTGTTACTCAGAGTGGCTAGATGAGATTGTGGATCACAGCCGCGAGTGCATAGTAGAAGGTGGAAATATGTATTCCTAACGGATACTGTATCTATTGTCGAGTCTGACGAGATGTTGCTGTGTGATCGAACAGCTAATGATAATGTAGATTGAAGCTGCCCTGGAGGCGGAAAATATAGCTCACTTGCGCAGGGGAAGCCGTTTTTTCAAAGCTAGAATATTGTCGATTTATTTTAGTGTTAGGCTTAGCGTAGGGTTATAACTAGACCGGTATTCTACATTTCACATAAAAATCAGTGGGAAAACTTGGTGCTGATTAGAGTTTCCCCGCGCCATGGTTAGGCGTCTCATGGCTCTCGATCAGCGATTCATAGATTAAATCGACCCGCAGGAGGATCTTTGCCAGATAGGGGGTCGACTTTACACAGTAAACTCAGTTTAATTAATAATACCTAGGATAGTATATCTTATTTATATCGTATCTCGGTATATACTTCTATGTGATAGTAAAAGGCGGTATAAGATAAAAATCTATCTATTCCTTCTATGGTTCATAGTAGTTATTTTCAATTCCTTTTCAATGGTCGTATAGTTAGAATACAGATCCTAGTAACCTCTAAGATAGAACCATAGTCAACTTCAGATCCTGTAGTGGCTATAATTCGGCTGGACCCATACTGATAGCCGAGAGAAAGCTACGCAGGTTATATTTGAAACATTCAATGCTCCAGCATATTATGTTGCTATAGACGCTGTCTTAGCCTGATATGCGTCTGGCCGTACGACTGGTCTGTCTGTGGATTTTGGCCATGCCTCTACTGATTTGGTCCCGGTTTATGAGGGGTTCGCATTACCCAAAAACATTCATCGGATTGATATATGTGGAGATAAGATAACGCAATACCTGATAAATACATTGGGTGGAAATTCTTTCCGTTCTGAGATATTTCAGGATATGAAAGAGAAACACTGCTACGTTGCGCTTGATCTGGAAAAGGAGTCTCAGTATAATACTGAGAATGTCTATGAGCTTCCTGACGGGCAGATTATAGATATCGGAGCTGAGGCATTCCAGGCACCGGAAACCCTCTTTCAGCCTACCATGGTTGGGTTTGAAAACCATGGCATTCATAAGCAGATGTATAACTCAATCTTCGAATGCGATACTGACATGCAGAGCGATCTTTGTGGAAATATTATTCTAGTATGTCAGCCCTTTTTCTTTTCTCCCTCTCATAATTTTTTAATAGAAAAGAAAAGAGTATCTGCTATAACAAGAAGTTCCCCCTTATTTTGCTAACGGGCCTTTCTAGTCTGGGGGTACTTCAATGTTGCCTGGTCTAGCGGACCGGCTACGCCAGGAACTGACCCGTCTCAGCCCATCAAATATAAAGATGGCGGTGGTAGATCCCCCGAATCGCAAGTACTCGATCTGGCTTGGAGGTTCTATGTTAGCATCACTCTCTACGTTCCAAAATCTTTGGTGTTCTAAGCAGGAATATGATGAATCAAGCCCTGGTATTGTCCATAGAAAGTGTTTCTAAAAGCAAACACCGCTGAAGGAATGTAGTAATCTGCATTCAAATAGCGCAAGCACAGATGGTAGAATGGATGGATGGAGGTTATATTGAGCTAAAAATAACAAATGCCAAATATACAACAGGCTCCGAGCATACAAGGGACAAAGTCCTCGCTTTCCGATAAATGTAATGCAGTATAATCTCTATTATATTTTAGATATTAGCTATAAACATTTAGAAAATAGATAAAAATAGTATAATACTATTTTCTAATAGTGAAATAGATAAAATAATATATTTAGATATAGTTAATCCAGAAAGTAATAAAAGAATATGTGATTGCAGCTATGCCAAGGTAATCATATACTGTAGAACCACGCTATGGAGCTCTCCGCTAGCTACGTTCCATAGCGACTACACTACGGGCTTAACCCTACGGTGCAACTGCCCTGTGTATATAAAGGACGTAGCTACCCTACCACTGGTAGGAAATCGGCAACTCTCTACCTCTCATAGCATACCGCTACTTTCAATCACAAGTATATTATAGCTTGCTTATCACCTACTACAGCACAGTGAGATTGTAATAAACAGAGTTATCCTCACCGAGGCTTTCTACGGGACTGTTGCTATCCTTAACGATACTGTAAAAATATCAGATATAATAGACAGAGTCTTGAAGTATATCCATACTGTCTAGTTATCAGTCGCCGATGCCACCAATAGGATACCTGAGCAAATTATACCATCATTGATATAGAATGGTTAAATGCCGGTATCTTTGACACAAATGTACCTTCCCGGCTCGACCTTGTTCTTCCAACAAGCGTCGGCAACGCTAGCCGAGATCTTATCCTGCTATTGTAAGTAAGTTGTCGAGCGGCGAAGTGCAGGTATAGAGAAATGGACCAATGATAATCCATAGTTCTAGACCACCCTGGAAGTCGAGAAAGAGACTATGAGACATGGTGGTGATGAAGGGTGAAAAAGGACAGCTTGCTTTTTCGCTCGTCGCCGGTCCCTGTACACTTTTTAGACACTGGCCGTACTCCGACACAGCAAAATTACAGATATAAGAGTCATTAAATAACCTTCTGGATACGCTGTGATGGTTCCTTTCAGCACCCAAGAACACTCGGTATCCTGCAGGAGATAGGGGTATGGTCGCCTAGCTGTTCCGATGCATTCATAACCATTCGAACTAATATTTAACTAACTAGTTAACTACAGTGAAGGTTTGGTACCTTGCGGGGGTACATCGGGTACGAGGTAGTATTCAGTTTCTTTTCTTTACCCTCTCTGTCTAAACAACGACAGGGATTTCTCTTTATAAGTTAACAAGTATTATAGCGAAAATTACCCAACATGGATTGAGAGCTGAGCAGGCCAGTTCTTAAAACGGCCTTCTGCGTCTCTTTCGTACCTATGCTAATAAAAGGCTGAGTGTCCGAACTCTTACCTAGCCCCGGTTTAGTCCTATTAGATGTTGTAAACCTATCTGACCTCCCTGTAATGAATTATGTATAAGAGGACCAACTCTGCAATATACTTATTTGCTTTCAGAACGTCGCGCTGGGGCATTGCTATTGTTAACAAGCGGAATAATATGCCTGTTTAATACACCTGGGTAACGAATAAGAGTTTATTGTACTACTTTACTGTACTATTACATACATACACTCACCCACACAAGCCCCACGCCCCGTGGCAGTATTGTCAGGGGTTTTTTTTTTTTTTTTTTTTTGCAGTGTCTAACATATTGTATTGTATTTTTATTTTAACTGGATTTATTACCTAGGCAGACTCCCCCTCATATTACAGTGGAGGTACAAAGGGCGGTGAGCCTTAGCGATTCATTGTGGAGCTGATTGTCAGCTGAACTTCAGCTGAGGTTCGGCTCAACAAATGTAGATCATCAAGACTAAAGGATCGTGAATAGCTCTGATAGTGTGGCTGTGGCGGGGTAATTTAAGGAATTATGTGATTTCGTTCGATGTTATTTATCGTGGCCAGCCTTCCACTTCTCTTCTCCTGTGTACCTAGCCGTGTTTGGTTTCTAGCTACTAAATAATATTGATATTGGTGCCCTTCCTGTCCTTACTCACCATGATACCCCATGATGGAGTTGTCCACCATCCTTTCGGTGGTGGGTCGTATTATTTCAAACAGAACCTCATGAGATACCTGAATGAACAATGCACTCGGCCGAGGATCGCTGTCCACATTGGGTCGCAGCCAAACAGCAGCCCGCACCTTGGCAATATGACTACCTTTGCCACAGGATTTGCCCTCGCCGCTGCTCTGAAGACCAAGTTTGGGCGTGAGATTAGGGCCAAGTTCGTCTATGTGGAGAGCGCCCCGACTCCAGGAGAGGAGATCGTGATCGCGGGGGTCCGATATCAGAAGAGCCTCAAACACACCGGAGATTTTGGAGCCAACCAAACGCCATTCCGAAAGGTGCTGGACCAATTGTCTAACCTTTCGGGTATACCGTATGACATTGAAACACAACATATCTGGCGCTCGAATCCGGCGTTTTCTGTCATCCTTCGGAACATCGTGGCCCACCATCAGAAGCTTGGCTCACATCTGTCACCAGAAACAGGCAAGCTCGCTATTCGTGCATCATGTCCGCGGGAAGGATGCGGGCTAGCAGATAAACATGGTGTAAACAATCAATACCATCAAGACGGGCGGGCCACGTTTGTGTGTCCTGATCATGGAGATTACCACGTTGATCTCACATCCCCACGAGATCTGGAACGGCTGGAGTTCAATACCCCACTACGCAATCTCATTCGGATCCTTATCTGCAGTCAAGATTCAGACACGTCGTGGATTATGTGTACTGGATCAGACTACGCCGGTTTCTACCAAGAACAGCTGACATGGCGGCTCCTAGAGCATCCGGGAAATGCCCCGATAATCTTCTATGCCCCGCTGGTCCTCGATTGGTCCGGAGTCAAGCTCTCGAAGAGCCTGTATATCAAGCAAGGTGCATATAAGTACCTATGCGATGCAGGTCGCAGCTACATGCTAGATGCAGACACATTTTTGAAGACGGAAGGTGGGCTCGAGGCGCTGTTTGAGGAGGTCCAGGATTGGGTAGAGAAACCATATATGCTCTTCAGGAGCTACACGATTGATTATCTTGACAGGCAACTGATATCGCGGGGAATGAAACTGCCCCGGGAGAATGGGCTTTGCTTAGACCACTAGACCATGAATCCATTTTACGTCGAGATTTATGTTCCTTGTAATCGTTAATGACGGCCCATGATTCAGCAGTTCCTGTTAGTTCGTTGGATCTGACTTTGTAAAGAAATCAGATATCTTCCTTGGCCCGGGCGAACCGGATGCGTTCTTGGGTTCTTGTAAATCAAGTTGTTTTTTCTTTTCAACAGGGCGCTCCTCGGGTGCCCTTGAGATGATATGGTCCTGTCGGTCCATTGGGCAGCTCTCTAGGAGGGTCACTGGAACCCAACAATACTTTTGGGGGGCGCCCTTTAAGAACCCCTTTGAGATGGCTAGTTTCAGGCTGATTGGCTCCCTCAACTTCCACAGATCAAGGATTTCATAGCCGTATTTGGAGACCTTTCTGCCCGCATTGAAGTCCTCATTCCCAATGCCGCCGTCCTCGGGGACTTCGCCAGGAACTTTGCCGGGAGAGACGCGGGCGACATGTTCGATTCGCGACATGGGGGCAGATGTGTAGAACCAGATGCGACGAACGCTCGATGGGAGGAGGTAGCGACGGTATTCGTGATTCTTTGCGCCAGTCGCGATATTGTGCATATGTTCGGGCTTGATGCTCATGAAGATGTCGGCCCGTCCGGTTCTAGGGGTTAAGGACTTTTCTTTGGCCATTATGATTCATGGATTGATATGCAGGGAAGGTAGAATTGGACAGTGTTGGGAGCTTATTGTTTTGGTTCCCTCCTTCACTGCAGGAGCATGAGAACTAGTAGAAATTGTTGTTGTTGAACGCGGCACACCAAGCCTATCTGGGCTTAGTCGTATGGACTTAGTCCACGGTTCACGCGTCCACTGTGGGGGTTCCTGGTTTAATACGGAACTACTAGTATTCCGCCATTACTTTCGCGTTTTACCGTACTACGTACGTGCATATTATATCCAGAGCACAGTGGCATTAAGCCGAGAACTTGTAACTCCACGGCAATTCAAGGTGTACATACTCCCCACCGTAAAATCATCACCTTTCATGCTATCTACCACTCGCCAAATTCCAAATCCCACCCACTAAGCGGCTATGCTACCTGATCTAGTATGAGAAAAGTGCTGATTATCCTAGCTGCGAAGGGAATGAATAGAAGACCCCCTCCATATAAATTATCGGATACGGGCCGGCTACAGGACTCAGCGCATGCGGCAGATATGCATGTGAGAATGTACTGAGGAAGAAAGGATTCTATTAATTCACAACTATCACAAGTTCTCAAACGAGCCGAACCCCGCGATTAAGTATAGGTATAACAATAACCATTCTTCGACGGATCCATCATTTTCTCAACCTTCCGAGGGGGACTGAGCGTCCCAAACTCAACCAGAGTATCAAGTGTCACCAATGGGGCATCCGGCGGATCATAGATAATAGTAGTACCATTGATTGCATATCGCCTATTCTCCTCATCCTGCTCCTGCCACTGCGCCCACAGCCTATCAATAAAGGCATGGTGCAACATGAACGAGGGGTCCTGAGGCGACGCGAAGAAATCATGCATGGCACCTCCTACAGAACCGTGGCCGCCGCTATGTGGGTTCGACACTCGAGGGTCACTCGGGGACATGACAGCGAGCCAATCTACAATGTTGGTAGTTGCTTGCATTCGATCAATCACCGTCTGATTGTTCAGCGCGGCCAGCATAGGCGTGTGCAGGTTTCTGTGTAAACATCGCGGATTGTAGTCCCATGCGTCGGCGGGGATCGCACCGTAGGACTTAACGAGAGCGGAAGGAAATGGTCCCAGGTGGACTTCGAAGTCCTTGAATGGTCCGGACTCCACGCATCCACCGCCCGTTCCTCGGGGGAAGCATATCCCCCCGGGGGTGCAGGGCCCCGGCTCGTCTGGATCGAATGCGCCGTTGCCCGAGAGTGAGGTGGCACTACCGTCGAATACTGGGCTCTCCAGTAGGTTGTCTGTGTCCAGGGCCCAGTTCCAATACCTGTAGGTGTTTTGCTCAGTTGAGGTTTCCTACTATTTGTGAATACTATCCACTCACGGTACGCTGCCGTTGTATCCACATTCCTCGCGCAGTGTCTTTTCCCAGAGGTAGACGAATTGGCGGTGCCACGGAAGCAGAAGCCCGTTGAAATGGATGGTGTTCGTGTAGTTGATATGAGTCCTTGATATATGAGCCGGAGCCATTAATCATCTCACGGAATGGGCATTGGCTTACGCAACAAAATCATCCCACCGGTCCTGGACCCCGGGATAGTCCTCATTGGATAGGATAGACGGGCGATCGCGAAGGCATAGAACCGCTTCGATATAGTCCTTTCGTTCAGCGTCCTCGAGCTCTCTCCTGCTATATGTCAACACACCATCGCCTACGCTGGACACGAAGCTGGACATACCATTCTTTCCTTACTAAGGCGTTTTCCGAAGTGCATGCTGCTGATGTAGCCAGGGCAATACCCGCCGTCGCGGAGAGGACAAGGAGGAGTCCTTTCATATTGTGAAGCACACCCTACGAGCAGAACTAATAGCTCGTGATGTTTCTCTTAGGTGCGGTGGGATAGATATTGTGCAAGGGAGACAATGGATCAGGGTTGTGACCAAAATATATAGCCTTCGGAAGGCTGTGATCGACTCCAGAATCATTCTTGATAAAAGGCATTTTTTCCGAGCCCTGTCGTCATGGGAGGTACCTGCGCATGAATTCACCGACCCCGGGGCAACATCTCGTATCGGCATTCATTCAGCTGACAGGTAGTTCATATCTTGACCCTGCATATAGAGACAAAGATTAAGGACAGTGTGGCTACGCATTGGTGGAGCTGACTCTACAATCGACGCCATAAAGCTTTCAGGGTATTGCGACCGCGAAAGAGAAGGAACATTGGTTCTGGCCGTGTTGACAGGTTACGAGAATGAAACCTGGGCCCCAGTTATTCGCATTGGATGCCAGTGTGCTATTCTTATCCATGGGGAAGAGGGCACTAAAGTTTCATAGCATTCCCCATCTCTACTGGAATGCCCAGTGCATACCATTCTCTTATTGGTGCTGACGTTGAGGTCGGGTTTTAAATCACACTGTCAAGCAATATAAACCCTAGATGGAACCCGCTCGTGGCTAAGTAGCACAGACAAAGTAGCCAACTGTGACATTTGTAGCCTTCATCTCGTCCGAAACTTGGCAAGCTAGGGCTGATACTGTTTCGGGAGCCTGCTGGCTACAAGGTATGTGTTATTGGACCGTGGATACCGACGCACCACCAACTCCTGGAAAGTCCTTGTTTTCCAAAAGATCTGGACACCTGGTCGACAAATCACCTGGAGGCTGGGGCCTGGGATATGACATGATCTCAGTACAGGGAGTAGCAGTATTTCATGTGGAGCTGAACTCCAGTTCGCAAGACCCCTGGCACAGTACTGCAGTGGCACGTTTGGCATGCTGGTCCATTCTGTATTACGTAAGGCGATGTTGTGAGGTATCCAGGCAACCTTTCCGAGGAATTTTATAATGAATATTATGCAGCCCGCCGTACTTCGCTTTCAGGTATGCATACCTTCCATTAATTTGACAAGTACTGGCTTGCGCACTAGTATGCACAAGAATCCAAGCCATAGTAAATCCTGTTGTCTCATAAACTATCTATGCCCTGTGCCAAAGCCTACCGGAAGGCCGGAATCCCAGTCGTATAAATACATGATGCGGACCAAAACTCAAACGCTTAGGGAGAGCACAGCATAGAGCCTACCACTGGCTTGGATCTGGATCTTGGACACGCGTCTATCCCTGCGCTGGAAAGGAACAGGTTTTCCAGCTGATCATTGATGAAGTGAGAGACTCAGACTATCCCGGCCTGCTGTGTAACATTATGAGGTACCATGATCAGACCCTGTGTCCATGTGTCCAGCGCCCCTTGCTGAATCTATAGAGCTCATTGGTGTCTTCGCCAGGTGCGAGCCTGGCAGTTCTTCGAGTAATGTCAGTGTTAGTGGGTAGTTGTAGCGAAGGAAAAAATGCGCATCCCGTATGCTTCCGATTTGCCAACGCACCGACAACTAAGACTCTCGGGATGACATTTTCCGTATGGTCTCCCGTGTTGACTTGTTGATGTCCATAAGAAATGTACATACCTGCCATTTACGACTTATGTGGGGCTCGGCAAGTAGTATGATAGGCTGGCTGATTACAATGTGTTAACCATATAAAATCAGCCGAAAGGATACTTATTGTAGGCAAGGACAACGAGGCAAAGCTTTGGGCGGCTACAAGAGGATATGTCGAGCAGATTAGCAATCCGGGGGTGAAGGGCTCGTATTCCAAGTGTGCTGCTCTCAGGCTTGTCAGTTAGTCCAATCGCTGATACCTCCACGTATACTATGTATATCTTGGTCTTTCTTTAGGAAGTGTTAAGCGACTACCCTGCCGACACTATGAACATGCTTATGCCTGATTGGATATCATCCCACGCTTCGGTTGTACTTCCTCAATCAATATATTGGTAGTTCCTTCGACTGTCCCTGATTCGCTGCGTCTCCTTTCTAGTAGCCTTTTAGGCTTTCGAATCTAGCTATTCGGCGCTTGGCGTGGTGGAACGATTATACCTTCTTTCTGTCAAGGTGCCTTTTAATAACCAGTATGAATCCCGAAGTGTGAAGTCATTTACTACATCCTTGCAATTGCATACTTGCTCATTGGGCAACGTAAAGCTATACTGCGAATTGGGAAGATACGAACAAAAACCTGACATTCTTGGCAAAAAGAGATGAATAAGTAGAGACAGGCAGGTACAATAACAGAGAGACGAGGATATCCCAGCCACGCATTTCCTATCATAGTTTCCTAACCTACGCCAACTTGTTGGAAGATTGGCAATCAGCTGACACACAGAGCCCAGGCTTCGTATTTAAAGAGCGAAAACTTAGCAAAACCAGAAACGAGAGAGGACCGTCCCATCAATATTGCTCCAAGTCATAGCGGGACTACGCCCTTGTTATCATTCAATTCTGAACGGTGAAGGTCTTGGACTCCGCGAGAGGTGGCTCGCTGGTTCCAACACGAGTAGCCCAGACTCGGTATCCGGGACTATATTATACGTTACCTTAGCTTCTTGATAACAGGTATTGGGCAGAGAAAAATAAACCTACCCGCCTGCGATACCATCAATATGGCCCCCGGGAATGGTTTTCTGTCCCGCTTTAGGTGCATTAGTCACGGTTGTGATGAATACATTCTCGGCTGGTGGGGATGTCAAGTGGGTGAGCCTGATGTCAAAAGAATTTGCCCTGGTATACAATCAGCTGCTGGTTCTATAGTTGTTGGATGTTTAAATTCAGTAAAATATTGGACTATTAGGCCTACTCGATAAGATCTTCCCAGCACACGGTCCAGTCCTTGGTGACGTCTACAACATCGCCTTCCTTGGGACAGGTGATGATCATTTTGAGGACGTTAATTGGGAGTTTGTAAACGTTGACAGGGAATGTGATAATAGTCTGTGGCCTGAAAGGTCTAGAGTGTGCAAAGATGAAACGAAATATGCTCGAACTGCAATTGGCTGTCGATGCTATCTCTTTCATAGAAGATGGGCGCGACCATCATGATATTTATGTTCCCACAGTGCTGATATATCCCCTTACTGCATGCCATGTTGAAATAAACGTGATGGCATCATCAAAGATGGACCACCTGATCTCCTAGTGACGAATAACAGTCACAAGGCCCGCTATCTCTGAGGGAGTCAGTGAAGTGTTGTCAATGTTACGGATATCTTTTCCCCCGAAAGAGACAAGGTGCAAGAGGCTTAGGAGTCCTCGCAAATGCCATTTGCTGCTATAGGTGCTTGTTAGGTTTGATGTAAAACAGGGCATTTATGATCATTGTACTCATCGCCTGACTACCTGCTCAGCGTCGTACAAATCTCACTGTCTTCGTACAAAAGCTTATTCTACTTCCACTACAATGTAGCAATGAGGCTTATTTTCAACCTAAACCAGTTGGCTATGACGTATACTGGTGGAGGGAGACGAGTGCCTATTGGCTGGGATCAGCATGGACATGAGGCTTATTATATCCTAGGTGACATTAAGAGTCAGAGAACTGTGCTATATCACAAATGTGGTTACGGCTGCCTATACTAGCAGATGACTCCACTGTCGCATGGGAGCCGCTAGTTGAAGATGGAGTTGTAGTCGCCATTGTGCTCTAATGGTGACTGAAGGTGGAGTGCAGGACAAAGCCTTTATGAGATACTCTTTAGCTCGGATTGGGTCCCACTTAATGTGACTAGCACTACACTTCCTACCTATGATTCATCTGCCATTATTAGATACTCACTATCATAGAGTTAAATAGTACTTTCGTCTATAATACTATGTAAGTGTTTCTTTAGGTTTGCATAGTGTAGTGCTCTGCCAGAAACAAGATGACGATAGGTAATATACGCCAGCAAATGACAATAAACATAGACGGCAGGGCAGCACTGCCGTCACCGCTGACATTAATAGCGTTGAAGGCAGCATTGCATATAATGATAGGCACTGCTAGACGGAAGTAGGCATTATGCTAAAGCTTCAACAAGCTTTTAGGCAGCAGCCGACGTTCCCATATGTGATAATCAATGCACGTACCACCCTCACATGAGCAAACGCACTACATAGTGCTGATTAGCGTGTCTTTGTCCTACACTACTCTTCAATGAATCAACCGTGTATATACTAAGACTTTCGGCCTTGTTCAGTTGATATTAACTTAGAGTCGGGTTCAGTTACATAGTTATGAACTCTTCCCTGGCCCTAGAGCAACCTTAGGCCTCATTTAACACCACCTACATTGTAGTGTATCAAGCATGAACTGGATATACCAGCATGTTACACGGAAAGTACGTCCAATCTTAGAAATGTATCCCGATATATTACTATACAAATTATAAAAGTCCCTTACATATGTAAATAACCCATGCAAGGGATAAGACAGGACACGGAAGATGACGTATTCTGGAACTTGTGTGTCACTCTCTTTATGTTAATCTTGAAAAAAGTATTTGATATTCGTAAGATTAGTTGCTCTGGATGGCAAAATGTGTGTCAAATGATCGTGCAGAGGCCTCAGTGCTGATAAGAAGAGACTGACTGCCTAGACTAGACTACGCAAGTCCGCAAGGGATACGGAAATGAGGTCGTTCTGGTGGAGGTAATGATCAGGCATATGTTGATATCAATGCACATGGACCATGGACATGCAAGCCCAAACAAAACGGATAGATGTAACTTCGGACTCATCTCTGAAACATATGACCTGATACACTGTCTAACTTGGTTTGCACCGTCAGGATAACCTACCGGTGAAATCATGCGGAGAAAAGAAAATATACATTCCACCTAGTGGCTACCTGCCGGGCAGATCATCAGCCCACAAATTCTCTAGCTTGGAGCGTCATGATCTTCGGGGTAAAGGTTCCTTTTAAATTGGAGAGGTTCAGGCTTCTTGTTCAAGTCAAGACTGCCCACGCGATTTAGGGATGAGCTTGGAACCTACGAGAAAATTCCATGAACAGTGCTCCTAATGAATATGCACAAAATCGTTGTTGCGGAGTGTGATTTCATACGTTTCGTTCTGCGTTGCTAGTGCTCCAGTCATCAGGCGCAGACACCAGAGATACAGAGCGAGAGAGGTACCTAAGCTCCCTGCTAGGCTGAAAGAACATCGGTATCTCACAGCCCACTCGACCCAATAAATCAATGGGCTTAAAAACTGTGCTAATATGGCTAGGCATAACGATCCTGAATGTTCGAGATCCCTGTTGCTGGCCCACCAGATAATCACAGCTTGATAGCCTTGAGAGCATAACATCGGACTCCAACCCAGTGCTGCCGCCGATGAATCACTCCACCACCACTGCCACTAGATGTGATGGTCCTATACATCTCTTGGTGTATTAGTTTCGACTATATCAATTCCATATCGTTGCCCCTCATCGTGAGCCCACCATCTCATGGAATACACGTTATCGTCGAATATACCCCGTTTCTTCAACTCCCTGTCATCGCACCACTCAGAACCGGGGGGAATCAACTTTGCAACCAGTTCTGAGCCAGCAAGCAGACTAGCGCTTGCGGCAATGCTCGTCGGATTCTTGGGCAGAATACATCGCTTATCCATGCACGTAACAGCAACTACACCACAGATAACCATTACTGCTAGAACTCCTTCAATGATTCTAGTTGAAATGGGACTTTGGATGACATTCTCCTGCATTTCCATGAAATGGGCAGGAAATGATATTCTGTCTGATGTTTGGTTGGTCGGTAGGTGCGCCCCAAGATTCAGTAATTGTGCCGTGACAATGCCGTTGATCCTTTGCATTCCATCAATGTATAAACTGGGATCGTCAAGAAGGTCTTTGGCAGTGACATTCTTCATTCTCATTGTGTTGTTAGTGATCATATCCGTCTGCGTAGAGTTCCTGCTTGGCTGATCGCTCTGGACGTTGAAAAAGTATTTGTATAAATCTGCATCGGGCGGGATAGCTTCTTGAAACTCGTTATCCCCGCCCGAGTAATCACTCCTGCCTACAAATCCAGCGTCTAAAAGAGTAGTTGTCGAGTTAGGGATGATAGATGGGGGTTTGGAGTCATCGAACATATACGATGGGACCGAAAGACGGGCTTCTACTTGAAGCTGTTCGAGCCGGGGTCGACATCGCAGAATGTATAGGCTTTCCACTGTGGAAGAACTTGCCTTCCCGTAAACCATCAGACGTGTCGGACAGTTGTGGTTGGTGGGGTCAAGTACTATGCTGGCGTTTGCTTCGACTCTATTCGTCATATATCTGAAATAGTCGCCTGGCTTTGGACTCAGAGCATCAAGGCCCATTGTTACGAACCCGCAGTTGTCAAGGCCGCTGAAAGTGAACGCCATATAGCCGGATTGCACAGCCATATTCCCATCATAGGTCCAGTTATACTGGTTTTGGGGCATCACTTCACAGTTGATGTCCGCTCGCACTGCCGGTAGCCGGACGTCTATCGACCCATTTGGATGGAACGTCTCGTTGAGTTCAATCCTCGGGAACGCAAGGTCTTTATACGTCCATTTGGGATACGATAATCCCATATCTATAATAAGACCCGGTGTCTTGCTCGAGTAATCAAAACGGTCCCAATATGCTCTCTTGGTACTGTCTGTCCAAGTCCAGTCTGTCAGCTGTATCGCATTTGCTTCGACAGGGGATGTGACTACATCAACGGTATATAAGCCAGAGACGGCAATTGACAGCGAAAAAGAAACTAGGACGCTTAGTGAAGCTGCTGCCAGAGCCCAATATCGTCTTCTAATGGCTGTCGCAAAGACATGCAAAGATAACTGCCCGTTAAAATCTTCAGAAACACTTGATTCCGCTTGGGCAACCTTCTCACAGAGTTGGCTGTAGGGGTGGAAGGTCCTTGTACAATTTTCAAGAATCTGATACAGGACTCGAACGCCAAGCATAGCCAGCGCTGGAAGATAGTACCACGTATATTTGATATATGAGTTTTGGTCCGCGGCATGACCAATTCCACCAAATTTCTGGGAATGCTGGTAAAGCACCTCGAGAACAATGATAACTGCAATAGGCACCGAGAATATTAGAACACGTGCTGGGATCCTGACTGCAAATGGACGCCACCAGCTGATATCGACTTCGACAGGGGAGGGTGCATGCCTTTCCGTCTCATCATCAGGGGTGATGGAAAAGCTACCATCCGGTGTGATCTGAGTATGGAAGCGCCGTCCTTCTAATGCGTCCTGTATTTGAGGAACCGGTAGCGGTCCCATGCCCATGAGTTGTGCGGAAAAGTCTGGACTGCGCGCTAGAATAGTTGCAAGGCCCGCAAGAGAACCTGCATCCCGAGGGCATGCGGAGATGGGGTGATAGAACAAGGCAAGACTGGCCGTTATTGCAATCAGAAGAACAAGTATACTCGTCAACAGTCCAAATGAGAGGCTTTGGACCACAAGTCGTTTTTCTGAATTGGTGACTAAGCCATGGGCAGTTTTGTTATCAGATTGAAGCAGGTATTCTTGGGCCAAAGCAGCACCAACCCCAGAAATATCCTGCTCCATTAGGCTTTTTAGGTGAGTCGTGTTCCAAAATTCTTCGGTATTTTTGCCGTTCGATTGTATCAGTAAGCCCCCATCTGGTGGATTTTCCATTGCCCAAAGGGACTTCCACACTCCATAGAGAATATCAGCTGCCGAGACTCCAGGAATAGTGTAGTTCTCGCCCGTGCTGTCGTGGTGAATGTTGCTGTACACCGCACTAGTATTCCGCCCACGCCAAATGTCCACCTTCCGCTTGTTGAGCGTGTACTTTGGTGTACACGCGAGGGCCTTGATGTCATATGTGCCAGTCCCATTGGACCCGATGTCACCCGAACTGCCGACAGGCATACCAGAATCAATGAACGCCCCACTGAGATCTTGATGCAAGACTATTGTCCAGAGACGCCAGTCTATCTGGCGAATATCGCCTACTTGAATCGTGTCTGTCATAGGATGTATCTCCCCTGCACAGCCCCCCACATCAGTAATGACGATGTACTCCTTGTCTGGGTAGGCGACTGCACTCTGCAGGTCCCCTTGGGTAAAGCTAAATGAACAGTTCTGATGAGGGTGAGACACGACTACCGTCGTGATATTATCACCGTATTCTGTTTGTTGGTTTTTGGTCGTAAATGGCGCATCTTCACACGCGGTATCCATGGTAAAAACATCCATCATTGCCTGGTACTGGTCTCCGACTGGGTATATACTACCGCCTTCGCTAGCTTCATAGAACGAAGGAAATACATTGTTGCCATTCAGCCCCAGTGGGGTACTGACGTTGAAGTTCATAGTTCCCAAGTATAGCTCGAAGGGGCGGCCATCGACCAGTGAAGGGTCATACTGAGAACCATTAAAGCTCTGTGTAATATGCATTTGAGCAGGTTCGGCATAATGAATATTCTCATATGCCAGCAAACCTGTTGAAAAGATTGTTGTGCCAGTAAGGAGGAGGGTACCTAGAACAGCCAGGCTAACGAGGTAGTGCTTGTTCTTAATGGATCTATACAAGGATACAATGAACCAGTCTGATGCATAATCCAATAGGACACTATTTGCTCCTGTCTGCGGGCCCTTGAGCATTAGTATCCATGGCATCAACTGCGAAATTCGATACTGGACCCGAGCCCAAAAAGCTCCCACAATCATGAAAACTATGATTGTCAGCTTGCAACGAGGTCCATTTCATATCACGACCCACCTGCTGTTGGCCCGTACGTCCAGAGATAGTAGTTCTTCTCATTTACTGGTCCAAGGCCATTGTGAACGTCTGATGCGATATATGTGCCAACCAACGCCGCCAAAAGAATGACGAAGGTAGCGAGAAAAAGAAGCAGTCCTTGCCGACGCAGACAAAACGGTGCCCAAAGATCGTTCAAGCGAGCATACTCGCTATTCTGGACACGCTTTCCCCCTTGTGAGTCTCGCGGGGCCTTTGGGAGCCTGGAATCCTCCTTGACCTCGGTCACCCATTCTGTCAGCTCAACCTCATTGTTGGATTGTGCACGCGATATCAAAGGAGTGCCTGAGGATATTGCGAGTGGCTGTTTCGCTTTGTTCTGCATCCTATGTATTTTCAGAATTGTGGATCAATGTTGACATGGTAGAAACAAGAGTCGCAACAGCGCGGAGAAACCAGTCCCCTGGATGCGACCACATATGATTCATGTTGATCCTTTGACGCCAAGAACGGCTCAGACGAGATCTACACAGTGGCACTATATTAGGTAAGTTGATACAACTAGAACGAAGCAATTACAGGTACCGCTCCACACCCTTGTACGAACCCCACCGGACACAGCCATGCTTGTTTAGGGGATAATCGCCCTCAGAAGAATCCACCATAGAGATAACGGACGTATATAGAAACTTCTCTGAGTTCCTTGCCAAATTTTTCTGTTGTCCATAATACTCCTAGGCCTCAGCTTATCATTCAGTCATATTACTCTCGTCATTTGATTACTAGGACTGCAACATAGACTTGATAAGAATGCCGGGGTTCTGTGTTGTGCTACGTCCCATTATGTGAGTACTAGTGGATATACTTCGATCTCGCATGATAGACAACTACCCAGAAACCTATCAAGACAAGACTAACTATGCGACTCTGCAAGCCTTGGCGAGAATGAAGCCTTCCTCGCCCGAGACAGCCAGCCGAGGCTCAGCTGTGATCTGCACGCTCAGACCCCTTAAGCTGGCCAGTGGTAGTTCATAGTTACTCCCCACGCGTTGGAAACCCACTTAATTCCTGGATCCGTGCCGTGTTGATATACCATCTAACAATCTATACCCAAACTGCAAACACTGCAGGAA